ATTGTAAAAATTTTAATTTTGTCGGGTCCAAAAGGAGTGTTTTGTTTACCTCCGTGTAAGGTATCTAACGCTTAGTTACTGCCTCTTACACTACTTGTGAGCCAATAGTATAATGACGTTGGTATCATGTGGTATCTAGATGTCATCAGCGATTAAGAATCCTCATGGTTCAACATCTGCCTGGTTAACAATCAACACCTAACCATTAAAAAGTTCTACTAAACTCACACCGGCACCAAAATGGCTTGACTCTGTGGTTAAAACTGTTAATAACCCTTTGGTAACATTAGCTGTGTAAGGCATTGGCAGAGGGACAGAGGGGGTCTCAGGATAAACAGAGAGAGGTAAAGAGCAGGGCAGGTCATTAGAACATCAGTACTAGAAATCAGGGTTGAAAAAGAAAAGGAATGTAGCCTATAAAGTATTTTCCTCTCGCTACCATATATGATGAGACAGAAAACAAATAAGGGTGCAACTTTGTTGTCATGGCACAGTTGTACCTAAAGCTAGCTAATGCTAACCATTACCTAGATTGCCATAGATGAACCTTGATACACCACCTCACAAAGTAACCTAAGTCTATAGCTGATGTGTGGCTACATATCGCAAAATGAATCACTTATTCTACCATTAAATATTCAGCATTTGACAGACTGTCTACTTGACCATGAAGTATGCAACAAACTGGCAACCACTTGTGCTTTGAGGAACAGTGTAGTGTGTAGTGACGAGAATATAATGGAAATAGGCAGGGGGGGTGTGACATCTAGTGGCTAATGTTCTCAATAGCACTTTTAATTTTGTCCTTTTGAACACGCTGAATACAACCTGCTCAGAATAAGGGCTGTGTACTGGCATCAAGGCAGCGGGATCTGCATTTGTATTTATCACAGTCCCTGTAACATGCTAGTGATGTAAGAGTCAAACGGCTGAGGACAGATTACAACACTGTCATCTAGCAGTCAGGTAAGCGATACAGTATTAGAAAACATACCATCACGATACTCGATTGTATATTCTAACACCCCTACCTAGAGTGAGTGTGTGGTACAGAATTGGAACACAGCTTCAGTTTAACCTGTGGATTTTAAGTTGATGTTTTCATGTTTATTGTTCACTTTGTGCTTGAATATAGTAAGAAACCAACCAAGTGTGTGTGTGTGCTATGCAGCTGTGGCCTGTCTGTTTGTCTGTCCTGAGCCTTACTTTCAATCCACCAATATCTGTTGTCTAAAAAAATCCTAATTATGAGTAATTTGGTCCATTTCATACACATTTTTCTCACTGGTCCACCTTCCACATGTCAGAGGAGGAAAAGATAGAAGTTGAAATGGCAACACGTAGGCAAAGACTGGGGAGAAAGAATACTGTCGTCCGCCTTTTCTCTCAACCTTCGACAATCACATAAACATGAGCTTCTCAGGGTTAATATTCAGAAAAGAACGAAGAGCCCATAAGACACAAGATATGCAAAATCACCTTCCAAACTCTCCTCGGCAAAATACTGACTTCAATCATATGTACAGTGAATAGAAATAGCTACTCTGTCATAATGTGATATGATACTTAACCTGATCAAAACAAAACGACTGCAAAACCTGGCACGTTCAATGTCAACATGTGAACCTCATGCAATAATGATGGTACACCCATGTAGCTCGATCCATTTAACCAGAAATAAACACGAGAAAGGGAAGCAGTCAAACACATATTGAGTCAAGGAGGTGAAGTTAGTCGTTTTTGGTGCTGAGTCATCAAAATAAACAATCAGCTTTTCACTCTGGGGCTACACTGGCTGGATGTTAAAGCGCGAGCAAAAACACCAACTTCATGTCGATGTCTCAGTACACATTTCAAACTGCAGATGCAGATCCAACACCATGGCACGAGAGAGATAAATAAATATGTCTTTACTATACTGCACTGCAATGTACCTGATTTCAAGTATGTTAGGTTTCTCTGGCATGGAAACCACTGAGTTTAGTTAAAAATGTAACAAACAGAAAAAAAAATACATCGTCATGATTTTTTTTTTTTTTTTTTTTTCACTTTCACAAGTATATTTACTTCGGGAACCTTGTATACAGTCATAGTTATTGCATTGTTTTTGCATATCTTGTGGGATGCAGGATTACACCCACTCATACCATATACTGCAACACAACAACTCATAGTTCATGCTAACCTGTATGTAACATAAAAACTGCAATGCTGCTCCTCTCCACACGGGGGCACCACAGACCTCTGGATCGCTCTCACCAGCATTAGGAACCAAAGAGCTTTTACACAGACACAACAAAGCCTGCTTGGGCACTTCTGATATGCAGGGTTACTCCAAATGGGTATGTGTGTCTATGAGTGGACATTATTAGGAGCACAAAGGAAATGATTTGAACTGAATGTAGTTTCTGGTGGTCTATGTTCTTTTATCCTCAAAGTTGGAGGTGATACTTAACATTTACGAATGTGACGTTTGAGCATTCACCTTAAAGGGGCAGTTCACCCCAAATCAAAAACACATTTTTACTCTAACCTGCGGCGCTGTTTTTCAATCTAGAGTTGCAGAGTGTTGGCGATATTGACCATAGAGATGTCTGCCTTCTCTCAAATAAAACTAGGACTAGGAACTATTTTCGTTCTACCAAACTACACCCACCAACTGTATCACTGCACAGAAGGAAGCGTACATCTACTCACAGACGAGATGGCGTCCTCCTCAGCTGAGCTGTAACACTAGCTAGCTCAGTGGTGCTATGTGAGCTAGCAGTGATACTGGCGTAGTTCAGTAGAGCGAAAATAGCTCCTACATGAAACTGCTCACGACAAGGTCTGTGGATTATCTTGAGTAACGGGGTCATGATATTTGGAAAGAGACATTTGTTCAGCTTTCCATTTTTTTCTTTGGTGCCTTGAGCACCACAAGCCGATTTCCATCTACTTCTATTATACTTGAGAGAAGGCATCTCTACAGCCAACATCTCCAACACTCGGCAACTCACACCAAAACAATCTGGACTGATAAATAGCTCTACAGGCAAAGAGCACAAATAAGTGTATATGCAGGTTTTGGGGTGAACTGTACATTTAAGGCTATGATAATTGATTGTGGAAATCTTCCCATCCTATTTTTAACTTGGCCAGTCTGAGAACGCTTCTGTGTTGGATAGTTTATTAATTCATTAAAGTAACTATTGTCATTCATTAAATGGTGTCTTATCAAAACTGCCTTGACAGAGTGACATTCACAGCTGCTGCGATAATGGCTGATAAATTCTTGCTGGCTTCTCTGTAGCAGCTTGAATACAAACACCACTACTTCATAATTCAGATGCCACCTGGTTTCATTTATTATTGAGGATTCAGACCTAATAGACATTATATTTATTAAGTAAATTGGCATAAATTTTGAATTCAGGGTTAAATCACTTTACCAGGGCTGATTCAACAAGGAGAGGAAACAAAAACAGAAGCACAAAGTGAGACTGTGCTGACTTTAAGGTTAAAACACCGAGCCCAGATGCTTCCCTACACACACATTAACATGCTTGACCATACTGAAATCTGCTTTCCTCACTTTTAGTCTGACCTTAAAAAGACAGCTTATACTGAAACTGATGTGAGCCACTAGCCGCAAAGTAGTCTGTTAGCTTATGGTACCAAGTCAATACTTTTTTAATGAGGTGCTTTTAGAATAACTGAAAGAAAGAAAGAAAGAAAGAGAAAGAAAGAAAGAAAGAAAGAAAGAAAGAAAGAAAGAAAACAGAAATGCTGAAGATGTTTATGAGGCTAAAGTAAAAAAGAAAAAGAATAAAACAACAAACTAAATGTCAGGAAGGGTATTCCTTTGACAACACAGACTTCTTCGGGGTTTGCAGTATGATCATAACCACAAAACAACAGCAGCACTGCCACTAAAAACACGTTCAACATTCACATTTAGTTTGCATAATAATGTCAGAAGTCTGTTACTGGCACAGGATGCAGTGTATGGCAGTGTGTTCATGCATACCCTTCCCTGCCACAAACCTGCTCTGCTTAACATGTAGCAATGAGAGCTCAGCAGTTAGTCCTTAATGGTAAATTAAAGTGGAAACTAATGGCTATAAGTTGACATGCGATAGTGTCTCTGGGTGGGAATTTAATGTGATTAATGTGAATTTTCAGAGGAAAAAAAAATCCATTGCAACATATTTGGATTTTCTGTAGATATAATGAGAGTTTAAGTTTGAAAGTGTTTAGTGCTCAAACTCAAACATATAATTAACTTTGTTAGAAAATTTCTTTTTGCGGTTTTGACTAGATCCACTGTCACGTGATGTGTATCTGCAGTCTCTCTCCCAACTTGTCAAATACCGACATTTGGTCAGTGGCCCTCGACGTCTGATATCGACGCACTGGGGGACCCTTTAACGAGGGTTTGAAACACTCTGAACACCTGCCTTGGATGGGTCAAACATACTCCAAACTTACACCCAGGAGGCTGCTATTTGTGTCCTGTGTGAAACCAACAGTCGAGCTATTTTAATAACGTTGTGTGCTAGTATGTTAAGCACACAAGCACACATGTGATATTAGGTCCCTTAGAAGAGATCTAGGCTTTGGAGCCAGTTTTCATAGTGGCCAAACAACGTAATTGTGTTTGCTTTGATGCTACGTGGCACAAAAACACTTTTTCCCATAGACTTACATGGCGAAAAAGACATTTTTTCAAGTGTCATAATCCTACGAAATGACTCGTTTCAGTATCAGAATTTGATCAATTCAGTCTGATAACATTTGGGAACTCTAGGGGAGCCTCAGGATTTAATCATTTTATTCCCATTCAAGTTAGCAGAGCTTTAAATGGAGGTAGCCGGCTCTACGGGCCCAAAGATGCGCATGCAGTGCCGATCATGCGAGTAATTTTATGCGCTGCAGTTTCAAGCCAAACCATTATGTTTTTTTCTAAATCTAACCATGTGCTTTTGTTGTTTTATTACCTACGTTCTAAATTTATTTTGACAAAAGACTGTATGCATTTAATGAGGAGAAAGTGTGTATTTCCTGTGAAAACATTTGTTTATTTTGCAAAGACACAATGCAGGTTCGAGCATAGATCAATAAACGGTCCCTGAATGTCAAAAAAACTGACGATGGAGTGGTACCTTATAGTTTGACGTGTAGGTCCACTGACAAGGTGTCGGTATTTGATGAGTTGGTAGTGAGAGTATGTTGTGACACACCTGCCTAGTGTCCAGCTGTCTTTGCATCCAGACTGTGGTGGCAAATTTCAGGGGCTATCATAACCTGTTACATAACATTTTAGAGAGTTGAATCATGTCAGTCTTCATTACGATAAAGTTTTTGTAATAAATGTGACAACTGGTACCAAGGATGTGATACTGACATGGGGAATGTTCTTCTAGAGAAGATACAATACCGAGGTGAGACCTGTGCCCTGTGTGGTGTACCGAGGCCTGAGGTCCTGTGGTCATACCTTTATCTCAAGTGAATCCAAACTCTAATAGAGAAACAAACTATCATAGAGAAAGTTCAGTAAAAAGTACTCAGCATGCTACCTAAAAGCCATTAGAAGAAAATGAAAAGACAGAAATCACACCAGGGGATCCTCGAGCTGACAGGTCTCTGATCTGCATCCAATTGTTTAACCAAACAATTATCACATCTTATCACTTAACAGTAAATCGCCTGTCTGTAGTATAATTAGATTTAACAGTAAATCATATTACAGACAAGGAGCTGTTTTATTTCTAACAATGACATTAAATCATAATGTTTCGTGATATGAGCAGACCTCAGACAAAGAGATGTGATTCAGAAGTCTTGCAGCATCTGTACACCAGCCCTAATAGTTCATTTGGAGTTTAAACTATGATTAAATGAGGAAATCATGTGATTATGGTGCGTTACAGCCAAGCGATCAGGGTGTCACCCCTCCCCCACCCCCAGTTCATTCATGAGGCGTCACTGTGGCAGTGTGAATTTGGTGCTTCTACCATTCAGAGTGACCATCCACCGTAAAGAAGAAAAGCAGCAATTTGCCAAAAGGCTTGTTCCCTTCTGGCCAAGCTGCAACGCCGAAACTCATCACCACTGTAAACTGAACCGTCACTCTGACCTCGCTGGAGACCTTACACCTAATTACCTCTAAACAGAAATAAAGGAAAGTTATGCAATGACTAAATTTCAAAGATAGAGTGGCTTCTGACTCTGCAGCTTGGCTAAAAAGTAAAAACCGTGCTAAAGAAATCACAAAGCTTTGGAAGCATGCCTGTCCATGGTAACCCTGTGTTAAGGAGGCCCATTATCACACACACACTCGCATCCTCACACACACCCTCGCACACATTCTTGCACACACACAATACCATACTTGTAATGCTACCTTAATTTACTGTCTAGGCTTAAAATCAGCTTTTTAGAATACATAACTAACCACTCGGACACAGGCACGCATACAAACGCACATCCTCGCACACATTTTTTTCTCTTCTGGGAAAAATAAATAAATAAATAGATACAATCTGTAAAAGGTGCATACTGATAGAGAGAAAGACCCCCCTTTTAGATACACACGCTATCTCACACATTCGTACGTACACACATCCTGTACTAAAACGCAGACACACACCCGCACGCACAAATATAGTTTATACACTCGCACGCAAACACTACGCCCTGCTTCGATACTTAAAACCTCTTAAAATTCTCCTAAAATAAACCGAGCAAAAATACATTTATAAGACCAGCACCCCGATTGTGCAAACAAATCAAGGATAAATTAAACCAATAACATCATGAATATAAAACAAAATAGTCATGGCTAGCCAGTTTTGCACAATATTGAACTGTTAAATACATAGTGGGTGTGGTCTGTAGAGAGAGTGTGTGTGGCAGCAAATCCAACAGGATTCCACGCTGAGAGGAAGAGGAGGGTCTCGGAGGAGGAAGTGAGGTTGATTGACGGATAGATCCTCTGTAGATCCATGCCCAGAGTCTGTTTTCTTTTCAATCGGGTCACTCCCGTCCGCTCCTCCACCCTCCGCCTCTGTTGACCTGTTCGACACACTCGCCTCCCGAGGGCTGAAAAAGCAAAAACCCAGCGATGGAGGGAGAGGGGCGGTGGAATAACCAAAGAGGAGGGAGGAAGGAGAGAGGGAGGAGTGAGGAACGGCGAGGTATGAGGCAGAAAAGGGGGCTCGCTGTCTCTGCTTAGCCACCAAATGCTCCTCCCATTTCCTGTTTGGGGCAGGAAGTGGGTGTGGCCAAACGAGGAAAAGCGGCGGAGGAGGCAAAGCCAGATCAAGGTGACGAACGAGGTGAGTTTGTCTCTCGCTGGCGTCTTATCGACCAGCGGATAAAAGAGCTGGCTAGCTTCCTGTTGGCCAGAGAGTGTCTCTCTCTGCCCGTGGCCCCCTACAGAAGCCCTGTTGTGGCTGTTTGTCCATCCCTCAAATCCCCCCCCCCCCCCTTTGGCTGGGGGTGGTGTGTCACCTTAATGCCACCCCCAGGCTGGCAGGGCTGTGCTCCAAGGTTCCTTTAGCTTTGGAAGAGGAAGAGAAATGAGATTTCAAACAGGGTTTTCCTCGCCCCCGTTTACTCAATACAGCGCTTCATCATCAGTGAACCGAGAAGGAGGAGTTGACCTTTGACCACAAGTGGGTGCGGTCAGATTTGAATCCTTAACTGACCCCTCCCCTCCACAAGCTGGTCTGCTGTCCCCTACCTGGCTTTATGGCGGCCAGACAAACAACAATAACAACACCAAAGTAGGCATAGGAAATGAAAACGATAAACACACTATGTAGACTGCGGGACGTCCATAAAAGGACTTCCTGCCTCTGTTGTTTCCTCTCTACCTTTCCTTCATCCCTACTTTCCCCTCACTTTTTTTGCTTGTCTCTACTTTTCTGCTCTTCACGCTTTGAGGACATGATAAAACTGTGAGGCACTTTAGAGACACACTCAGACACGTGTGGAGAACACACGCACTCATGTACACGTACAAATAGAGAAAATCATAGATCACACACACGCACGCACGCACACTCACACACACACACGCACACATACATACACTCAGATATTATAGAGTATAGTGTGGTATTCTTGACTACAAACATTCACGCACGTACAAACTCATATAAACCAACAAAGTCATGACCAGGTGTTTAAAGTTGCGTCACTGGCCGCCATTGTCCAGAGCAGTTATGTTTGGCAGAGAGGCAGACAGTGTGTGTGTGTGTGTGTGTGTGTGTATGCGTGCGTGGGAGGGGTGGGGACAGACAGAGCCAGCTGTGGCGCCGTTACCCAGCACTGACAAGCGTCAGTCTCTGATGATGTCAGAGGGGCCAGTTGGCCGATCGAACCCGTCAATCCAACTCCTACAAACTTGTCACACACTCCATATCCTCGTCCTCCAACGGCCCGCTGTTACTCTGCCGTGCTCCTCCAATCACAACTGAGCTTCTGTGGTGTACCTCCTCCCTCTCTCCCGCCTCTTCCTCCTCCTCCTCCTCTTGTCCCCTCCCCCCTGCTAGCAGCTCCTGCCGCTCCTCCACCGAGGACGGCCCGTGGATGGAGCCTCTGCTTCCCCCGGCCTCTTCCCCGCCCTCGCTGACCACACGGTCCCTGTGCGTTGCTGCTGCTGCTGCTGTGTGAAAGGGGAGGAGGTTGCCATTGGGGCTGTGCTGGGAGGTGGAGGAGGTGCTGGATGTGGCATTTGTGGCGGTGTTGCCGTTGAGAATGTTGTTGGCAGCGTGCTCCATCTCCTCGATGGTCATGTCGCATGCGTCTGCCAACTCGGCTTTGGTCACCTCGATGAACGACGGGTCCTGGGCGAAATGACCCAACCCCTCTGATATTAGCACCTGGGGAGGGAAATGGTAAAAAAGGGAATGGATGAAGAGGAAGGGAGGAAGACAGAGAGCAAATGGGGGTGGAATGGAGGGAGTGGGAGAGAAACGTAAACTTCAAAGTACAAGAACGAAGATGGAACAGTTATGGCTGCAACTAAATTTAAATAAAGCTACATGTGACCCCTCATCACAGGTGAGTTGTGTTGTGCAACGTCCTCCGTAGGTAATACATCATTGGTTTTGATCAAAACTGGTAGAAATGCTGCCTGGTTTTCTAGACAGCACCAAGAGTCAATGAGTCCTGAACAGTAGCAGTTTAAGAACCAGAGATAATACGGTGGAAAATAGGTGAAAGAAAGGCAACAAATCCTCACAAGTGATGATTGTTTCAGCTCCAATTGAACCTTCACACACACACACACACACACACACACACACGCACGCACAAACACACAAGAACACACACACACACACACACACACACACACACACACACACACACTTACCGCCTCCACCAGACTGCCTGCACTGCCGTGGCACAGTGAGCTGGAGTCTTTTCCCAGTAGCGAGGGCACTGTGAGTGACACCGGCCGTGGTGGTCTTTGATTGGACACTGAAACGCTGGGGGTGGGGCTAGGACTGGGCCCTCGGCTGTTCCCATTACTGTCGCTGTACCTAGGAGCAATACATTTTCTTTACCATCATTATTGTTCCTACAGTATCATATGTGTCATCATAACTGTTTCGTGGACAACTGTACTGTGATTTACAACAGTTCTTTTCATGGTACTTAGTCTTACCAAGGCCCACAGTTGACAGAGGGCAAGCTGGTATTGAGCTTTTCATGGGAGTTGGAGCCCTCTAGCCTCAGAGAGGGCACTCGCTGGTAGGAGGCATCACTGCCAAGGGCTAACACAAAGACAGGAAAAGCAAGCATTAGGACAACAAACTAGAGTTTAGATTCTCTTCCTGAACCTGATTGGGCCCAACCTGCTGGATCAGGCCAGGCTGTAATTTCTGAACATCTCCTGGGCTTGAATTGGGTCCTGTTCTTGCCAATTTCCAGGTGTTTTTTTTTTTTTTAATGAAAGAGGCAGTTCTCCTACGTAAATGGCAGGAGATGCATTGGAAATTGATGGAGCAATATAGTAGAGAACCAGGGGAGTGAGATAAAGCTAGCACAAGAGAAGAAAGGAAACCAGGAGAGGGAGAGAGAGAAAGTGGGGCTGCAAGGCGACTCTGTTGGCAGTGTTTGTCTCTGCTTCCCCAGCAGTGGGAGAGATGTGCGTAACATGCAGGGGAGAGTGGCGATCATCATCTGAGTGCGGCCATGGACTGCTATGCACGCTCAAAGAACGAGACGCACTAAAGGGTGAGGCCTGCTCTGCTGAACCTGTCTTGCAAGAGATGGCAGCAGAGCAGAAGACAGATTTGTGAGGAAACAGGAGGAGGAGGAAAAGGAGAATGGTGGGAGGAAACACCTCAACCCTTTGCTTGTAATAAATGTTTTAATAATGTTTTTTTTTTTACTGTGGAGATTTGGACAGAAACAATGTGGGTTCAAGCAGCAACCTCCAGGGCTGAAAATGGAAGTGCCAAAAAATTGCAGTTCTTTGAAAAGCCACTTGAAGCTGGCTCCAGAAGCCAGTCAACCCCCATCGACTCCCATGTTAAATGCCCAACTTTACAATAAAAATAAAAATGTTTACAGCCGGTACAAAAAACAGTTTTGGTCTTTATAGCTAATTTCCCTGTCCCCCTGTATGGGCGCGTGAATTTTTATATAACTCACCGTTTACATTTTATTAAGGCTTAAAGTAACGCGCAATTAAAGGTAGGCTGTTTTGAGTGACAGGCTTTCACCCCTCACTCCTTCACAACACCAGCCTCTCACCCACATATGGCCACTTCAGGCTCCAAAAAAATCACGATGGTGATGAACCTGAAACTTCAAAACAGGAGTCCACAAACAGGTGGGTGACGTCACGCTGGGTACGTCCATTATTTTTAATCTATAGCCGGGCCTGATACTTTAGGCCCAATCAAAGCTCTACAACAAACCTATTTCAATAAGTACAATCACAAAGCCTACACAAAGAACAACTAGCGCTTCAAAATTCACTGTTCTGGATTTGTTTTTTCTCATTAAATAAAGGTATAGTAAAGCAATATTTTTGCCAGTGCTTGACAAACAGCTTTTTGGCCTCTGATGTGTGCACAGGATGCAGTATACCTGTGGGACTGGCCGGAGGCGTGGAGCACAGCCGGCTGAAGAGGGTAGGTGAGTGACTCCTTCTTAGCAGAGGACTCAACCCTGCAACTGCCAGAGCCTGGAGGAGGAAGACAGAGCAGAGTGACAGTGTTAGAGAGGAGCAGGAAGAGGGGGGATTATGTCTGCAGAACACAGCACGGCTGGGAGTTCACATTATGTATTTACAACTAGTTTATGTGCAACCAAGTGTGAGAGCAGGCTTGTGTTTATTTTGTGGGCATCGACTACCTGATGATGTACAAGGTGTAGCGGTACAGCCGTCTTCTGGGAGACATCTGGCCTTGACTGTCTCCTTAGACACTCCAGATGGAAGGACGATCTCCTCCCTGACACACAGAACGAATATGCAAACACAACAAACATGTAAACATGAGTAAAATGTAAAAAGAAATATTAAGACGCTGTACCAATAGAGATGTTTATCTCCCCACCCAGAGTTGTGGGGCAGAGGAAGACTCTTCTCGGAGACTGCCACCCTCCTCCTCTTCTCTCTTCTACATCCTCTCCTTCCTCCATGGGAGCCAACTGCTTACATGTTTCATCATGATACACCAGCCTGATGAGCACACACAGCCACACAAAGAAGAGTTATTGAAGGACACACCCCAAAACAATTAAATTATGAGAGATAAAAACTAAATTAATGAGGGTATTTGTTTCAGCAGTACATCTCAGAGGAGAGCGAGTGGTCGTCCTCATGGTACTCCCTGTCGTCGCCATAGCTCTCATCGTACGTCTCCTCCGTTGACCCCTCGCCTCTTCGGATGATTGGCAAGCGGCTGTCACTTGAGTCCGAGCTACCGACAAACAACAAAGCACACGACCCAAACAAACAAATAAACAAACAAACAAACAAAATGAACAACACACAGACCACAGATGACAAAAAAAAACAAGTAGACAAAATAGGCAGACAAATGTACACATAGACACACGGACAAAAAAGAAGCAGCTCATTAGCAAAAAACTCAGGAGAGATTTGGAGGAGAGACTGAGAAACCCACTGAGGCACGTAGGAAAAGGGAAGAGGAGGGAGGAGAAGAAGAAAAGGTTGGAGGAAAAGAAGGAGGAAGAGCAGGTGGGAACTATTTTGTTAAAGCTAACAGTAAAAAGCATCAAAAGGCAACAACTGGAATATGAGAAACGGATAGCGCGACTGAGGTGCAGACATCTTTAAAAAACAAAGATTGGGACGGACAAGATAATGGCTCGTAACAGCTAATACTTGGAGACCAGTATTTTAATGTAGGCCAACTGGGAAATTAAACAGGTACTTTTTATGCTGCTCTCATCATTTAAAATGAAGGCCAATAAAGTCCTGCAATCAGATGCTGTCTCTTCTACTCGCCTCTTAAGAAGTGGACGCAATACCTACAGTACATTAACCTGCATAAAACCGTCATCAGCAGAAAACTTTTAACTGAAAATCTTGGTTGTGTGTGATTCCTCTCTGAGAGACAAGCTTACACTGTGCATATAATCTGTATTAAGTTGTATTCTTTGTATTCCAAAGATGTCTTGTCACCCTATCTGTCCACATCTGTTTCATACTCCAGACTTAAGCTTTAAGGAGACATCCTGACATTTGAAGCTTAATCTTTTCTTCTTCACCAGAGAGTTTGCTTAAGCGGTGCAACAAGTCTGCTCCCCAAAACCATCTGTTAATGGTTGTGTTAAATTAAAACCAAGAGTCACAACAAACGGCTGAGCCTGCAGTCAGAAGGACCCATTATTTTTAATGATGAACACTAAGAATCACAAATAAATATTTGTTGTTTCAAGCACCAGCACACATCTCCTCGAAACTGCCTGGTGAAGATAAAGTAAGTCAAATTTCTAAATGTTAAGATGTCCCTTTAATCCACAGCTATTTAAGCTGCTCCACAGCAAACTCTGGGTTAGAACAGCATTTGATTAAAACCTGACTGAGACTGTTCTCAATGAGTTTGATCAAGCTCACTCCGCTTGGCAGCTGGGTGGATGTTATCCTGTCCTTAAGTCAAGCAAATCCAAAGAGATACAGAGTGAATCGGAAGGCTTACACTTTGCTTTGTAACAGAGCACGTAATTCTAAATCACTTACTGTCTCTACATAGGAAAAGTGAACAAGTTAACTCCCCTCTCTAATTAACTATGAGTGAGCTGTTTTTTTACTGAGGATCTTTATCTTCAGAGGACCCCATTCACTACTAGCAGGCTGACCTAGTCTAAAGCCCTGCTAGCCAACACCTGGTAGCTGCAACGTTTCTAAAGACTGTCCAACATGTTAAAGGGTAACCTGGAGCCTATTCTCCCATGTATGTGTGTCTAAGTAACTAATGGATACAACAATTTAATTGGTCCAGTATTGAGCAGAGGGCTTCAGCCAGCAGCCACAAAACAGGCAGCAATCTAACCACACAGGACAATGTGTATCCTCGAAGTACGTCCACTAAGGTGCTTGTTTTTGCCACTGACGGGCTCAGATTATTATAAGTGTCTGGGGAGGATTCCTACAGAGACAGAGGTTTTTATTAAAGAGTACGATCCTTTTTTGTCTAACCAGAAACAGCTCCCTAAATTGCTTTCTCAAAACCCACCAGACCCTTTTAAATAAACAATAATTTTAGCATGTAGTATATTTTCACATCTAACTGGGTGAATAAAGAGTTTACAAGAGTTGGAAATTGTTTTAACAGTAGACTGACAAACCAGATGTTTTTTAAATTTTATTTTATTTCTGTTGACTTTGAAGGAAGAGTGTTTTATGATGATAAAATTAGTTATTTTAAATGGAATCTGGGGCTTGGGCGATAGTGATTTCAGGGCTGTTTCTGGTTAAACAAAAAGGATCTTACTCTTTCAACCTATAATAACAACAATCTGAGCCTGTCAGTGGCGAACACATTTAAAGCTGATGTAAACTGACAGTGCACAAATGCATAAAGACACAATGCACATTAAAATCTTTTTCACATCTGACACCTGCAGCACTCTCAGTACATACTGGACCACCTTCAAAAATTGTTGTTCTTGTTCCCATACAATCACTTAGACACAAAAACATTGGGAAACAGTGTCCAGGTTGAAAAATATTGAAGTTACCCTTTAACAATTTTCATGGGCTGCCCAATACTAAGGCTGAAACTACAAAGTTTGTCCCAAGAATGGTGCTATTAAAATTAAATGAATGTTAGATTATGTCATTTCTTGTGTAACACTGAGAAAAGGGTATCATGTGTCTAAAATGTAAAACGGTCATTGTCTGGGAAGCATGTGTGTAAGTATCTGTCTTTGATCTGTCTTTTGAGAGCTTAGACTTTGAAATTTTTTGTGTACTATTTTGGTGCTAAATAAAATGTGATGGTGTCACCAAAATCAAAAGAAATCATCCTCTGGGGACCCTGAATATCATAGCACAAAGAGCAAAGCTACGGACAAAGAGCAGACATTGTGTCTAACCCAGACCTGCCATAACACAGCAGAGAACAGCAGCAATAAGAGGATAGGAAACGTTTGGCCACATTGCACCAAACAGCCTATCCACGGCTTTGATAGCAGATTTTATAGGAGCAGCAGAGAGCCTGGCAACTAAAGCATTATATGCATAGCAACAGGTCTTACTATAGCACTCTGCCATTTTTATGTAGCATTATGAAACCTTATTGCACCCAGTTAGGGGACAAACACCACACACACACACACACACGCACACACACACACGCACACTTTCTCTCTCTGTCCCCTGGCAACATACCGCATGAGGGTGTCATAAAAACACGTCCTGCTTGCCACCAGAGACAAAAGACAGGAAAAAAGAGGAGGAAGGAAAAAGAAAGTGAAGGAAATAGAAGAACCATTTATGTCCGAACTGTTGTTTGTTAAATTTACTGGCAAGCTAAACATCTGTGATGATGGTCAGGAAATAAAAGAGACAGACTAAAAAATTTTTTGCCTCAGTTCAAAAACACTCCAAATCACCAATTCATTAAATGAAAAATATGTTAAACACTTGATAAGACACAGATGTAACCTGCTGTCTGGCCGACACTCACCTCTTTGGAGGAAAGCACCATGCGGATCTTGGCAGCAGGATGGGGGTGAGCGGCTGTCCTGTGTGCCCGTCCACAGTGCTTATGGACGGGCTTGGGAATCGACTGATGCCCTGGGTCGCCACCCCGACCATGCCCGTGTTGTTGGCATTGTTGATGTTAGCATTGGAGCCTGATGAGGAGTACGAGGAAGGGGTGAAAGTGGTCGAGTCCATGAGCTTCTCGTGGGACGGGCTCTCTCCTTCGCAAGGGGAGCCCTTCTGGCTGATGTGCAGGGGACGCTGGGTGGTGAAGGACTGCGGGAAGGAACTGCGGCCATCGCTCTGGTTGTAGTAGTTGACATGGTTGCTGAACAACCCACCTGTACGCTGTGGGGTGAGAGGAGACAAAATTTAAATGTTTAAGTCAAAATATGTTTCTTCTTCACTACACTCAAACACTCAGAGGTACTAAAGTCACACTCACTTCTAGCAGCAACAAAACTTTACTCAGCCAAGATGGAAGTGCAAAGCAAAGGCCTTGTGTCACAAACCGAGGACAGGTTGTATTTATGACGCATTCTCAAATTCTATTATTAACAGTTTAAACATTTAATATGGGAGCAGAATGATCATGAAGCCGAATAAATCAGGCATCAAATCTGGGGCTAAAATCTCTTGGGCGTATGTTTTATTTCAACACTGACGGGGACACATATTAAGCGGGGTGTCTGGGGATCCTCCACCGGGAAATTTTGAGCGTCAAACACATTCTCTGCATTTTGGTGAATTTTTTATGAACCAATTTATGGTGCAGGTAACAGTTTAAATTATAAATATATTTTAGAATATAATGCAGTAAGGCTCTCAGGCATTCTGTATTGCTTTAACATATTTATTCCCCTGTAGATCAACTCTCCTAATTTAATGTTATCCCTGCTTTGTCAGCACAAATGAAGGTATGATTTAGTCTTCTCTCCTCTTTTGTTTCTTTTGTAACCTCTTAAGATGTGCATGTGGCACCTATTCACATTAATGATAAATTAATTAATTTCAATTACTGTACAACCCCCTGGTCTTTCATAGCTAATACGTGTTTCAATAAGATTTCTGCTCATATTCAAAACTTTCTGTGCATTCGAAACACATCCCACATATCTGAGTTGAAATGTAAGTTGTAATATTTTGAGAAAAAAAGTTGTAATATTACAAGAATTAACTATTAAGGACAGTTCAGTTGTCGTAGGATATTGGTTGGGACATGTCCCTAGTGTCTCTACCCAATTCTACGCCCTTGCACTTTGTGTTAAAGTAACAAATACAGCACTAAACAGAACAAAGTGCATGCATGTGGCAATGACTTTGACAATGGAGGCTGATAATAAGCGTAACTCACCCTTGAGACGTGTGTCAGTGTAGCTTTGGTCAGAGGCTTAAAGGTGCAGTGCTCAAAAAAATATCTAATGTAAAAATACCTTGTGTTCGTATTTTGCAATTTGCGGCCACTAGATGTGTTTTTGAAATGTATACGACCAATTATTCAAATTTAGCTCAGCATTTGCAGTGATTGGTTGGTAGCCAAGCTATGTGGTGGACAATGAGGCTTTTTAAATGAACCTCTGAGCACATGCAGGCATGTTTGTGTACGTGCATGGAGCAGTAATATGGCTTCAAGCTGGACGCTGATCATCTCTCGCTCTCTCTCTCTCGCTCTCTCTCTCTGGAGAGTGAGTGAGGGTGTGTGTATCCGACCTTTACCCTGAAGATATCGTCCTCGGATGCAGCTGACACCGGCTCCTTCAGGCCTTTATCCAGCTCCTCCTCCACAGTCAGGTCTCCAGAGATGGCCCTCCGAATCTCTGGACCGATGTCATGCAGTGTCCGCAGGCCCGCCTACACACAGACCAAACACCCTGAAGTGTTGCACTTATGGAATAACACACTGACCGACATGTTTATTTTGAGGTCAGAACCCTGAAGTAAGAAATCTATTCTCACACAAAACACTTACTTTATTTCTTTCTACAGTTAATTCATAATAACAAGCCTACTATATGCTGCACGCTATATCCCCTCTCACATTTCTTTAATCACCTCAGGATACATCAAAGTCACAATCTGAAAAATCTAACATCTGAATCTGTGTGTTTGTGTACCTGCAGAGAGAGGGCAGTTTTGGGAGCCACCTTGGCCACCAGCCCTTGTTCTTTCCTCTTCTTAAACTTGCGGAAATATTCCTGGATGAGGAAGGTAGCGTAGAACTTCCCAACTGTTACCTCATCATCTGCAAGAAATAAAAATATTACAGACACAGCAGGTTAATGCTTAAAATAATGCCTTGCAGTACTTTTCAGAAAAGATGTTCCAAGTGATGCTGCTGAGGTTTTGGTAACAATAATAAAATATATTGTTTAAAGCTAAACTTTTGAGTATGAAACTGTGTTGCAAAGTATATATACCTCCAGCAGGGGGCACCACTTGATCCAAGAGCTTCATGCTGGTTCTCTTCCAGATCTTCTTCACTATTGCCCTCAGTTCCTCATTGGCCTGCTCCAGGTTACCTGCACAAACACAAACAGTATACATACCATAAGGTTTAAAGTAGCATTTTCACAGTTGTCCAGTGTTCAAGCCTCAGCACAAGTGCATCTGTATTTGTGTCTATGGGACAGTATATTGTGCATTTAACACTGGAGTCTGAATCTTGATTTATGGTAGAGTACTTGACACTTTACGAGTGTTGCTCGACAGAAATTAAAAAGCAGCGTGACATTTCAATTTATGCTTCAGAGTTAGGTTTCAGTCATCTCACTGGTATCCAGACGCTGTCCTCCAGCTGGTTTCTCTAGTTGCATAATATCATCCAGATTGGTATCCTTCTCACAGCTGTTTGTTTTGTATTTTTAAAATATAGGAATTTGATCAAATTGGATAGTTAATTGAAGAGAAAGAGATTTTAAATTTTTACTGAGTAGACAAGGAATGCAAGAAAAAGAGGTAGTCAGTGCCTCCCCCGAACCAAACAAGAGTACAACAGGGTAAATATCTTTTGATTCAACAAATGCAGGACATGGGCGAGGAGATGCAATTTTGGTTCCTTTTTTAGCAAACACCTGAACAGACAGAAGTCAAACAGATGTGTCAGAGAGGGTCGCCGTGACTTCCCAATCACATTGTGCGACAAAATATGACGGTGTCCAAAAACCTGACAAAATTCTCCAGGTGCACGACATGAAAGGAAACTGAATTTTGTCTTCCAGAAATACGCCATTTCCTTTGAGCAACACCACCATAAACTGAACTTTATACCTAGTTCAGACTACATGATAACAGCCTGACTATAGCTCGACCCGGCCGTTCAACAGTGTTGGCTCGGATTGCGATTGCCAATGAGTGTTGTGCACGATAATCAATCGTTTTATCCCATGTTGTGTGTCATAGTACAACAACGAATGCTGCATTTGGGATGCCTCATGATGTCCTGACCGTAAAACTAGTGTGTTTGCATTTTTTTTGTCTCACAACACACATCACAGCTATGGCTTTGGCCAGTAGGAACACAGAGTGATCTGCTGCCGTGGACAACTGTAAACATGGTAAAGTCAAAGACGAGCGACATTGTAGGTGCTGCTGTGAGGTGGAAATGTGAGGAAAAACTTGTGGTGTTATGGCAACAACACTCAAGCCTTTTTTAAGGTTTCCACGAAGGACTGGCACTACAGCGTGAAGGAAGAAGAATGCTGGTGTGAAACAGCAGTGGCATTTCAGCAACTCGTTGAGTACTATCATTAGCACCAAGCTTGCAAAGAATGTTAATTTTCTTCCTTTTTGGGGCTTTTCCGAACACAGGACTGCCAGTAACATTCATACTGCTTCAGTTGCCATTCTGTTTCTGATGACATCATGCACATCATAAAAGACGACCAGTGATAATTGGTTGTGAACTAATGTATAGTCTGTCATGTCTGTCGGCCAAGTCACAGCAAGAGTTTACTCCATAATCGCTTAATCTGACATAGTGACTGTCGGAACAGACAAACATATCATGTAATCTGAGACTGACATAAGGAATCCCAGGATTCCTATGTGCCAGGAGAGAGGTGCAGGGATTGGGATGGTGTATACATCTGGGTATGGAAAGTGAAAAAGCAGCACTTGTGCCTCCCTCATTACCCTTGTGCCTATACAACTGTGTTACTGTGTCTGTTCATGTGTGTGTCTGTCACCTTCTGTCTTGATCCTGAGTGCGGTTCTGACCAGGGCAAACAGCGTGGCGTTGAACATCACTGTTCCATCGCTGTTCAGAGGCATGTTCATCGACACCAGACGCTACATGAGAGAGAGAACATTTTCTTTGATCACACAACATTTTAAAATGAAACAGGTACATTTTACGTGCAAACTGTCGGCTGCCAGCATCAATTGGCAGCTGACAGTTTGTTGAAAATGAGCAGTGGTTTGACACTGTGGTCACTATTAATTTTCCTCGAGAGAGACATCAATGTCTAAATATCTAAAATATTTTCCCTGTGCGATCTGTTGTCGGTGTGCCATTTGAGTCACTGTGGAAGGTGTTATGAGCTGTCAATATGTCATCACACTGATATAACAAAGACAAATTTCTGTATATTTAATCACACCTGGCAAATAGAGTGGTTAATTCTACCCCAAAAGAACAGCAGAATGATTTCTGAATACTTGAATTTGGAAGCCAGATTAAATATTCTGTATATTTTCTGTGGCCTTCACACCATGTTCGGGCATTTGTTTGTTTACCTTGCACGCCACCCTGTGAGGACAGAGCTTTCCAAAGCCGAGGGGAGGCTGGATTCTCCTCAGCAGAGTCACCACATCCAGGTGCTTTATCCTCCCCCTGGAAACAGCACAGACGTCACATTATAGTGACTCAACACACAACCTCTGGAGATGAATGATGGATGACGTATGTTGTTAATTCTCTGTAAACCTACTTAGCTTCTGGGTCATATTCAGCCCAGATCCTCTTGAATTCGTCGAGATGATGCGGCCCCAGGATTGACCAATCACGTGTCAGGTAGTCGAAGTTGTCCATGATGACAGCCACAAACAAGTTGATGATCTGAGGAGAATCAGGAATCAGTCAGAAACTACACAAGTAAAATATAAGTGATTACAGATGACTTGTTTTAAATCATAATCTGTAACATCAATCTAAAATCTACTGAATGTAAAATTTTATGTAAAATGTAACCTGAAAAGTTGTCTTTTAAAGGGATAGTTCATCATTTTGTGAAATGTGCTTGTTTGTCTGCTTGCTAAAAGTTAGATGAGAAGATAGTCTTTGCACTAAGCTAACCACCTGTTGGCTGCTGCTTCATATTAACCAGCAGTATCAAGATCTATCAACCATTTGACTGTAATATGATTTTTCATATACTGGAATCATGTGTTTTTCCGTCTTCTCTAACTGTAACTGATTATATGTCATAACTGTAACTCAAATCTGTTTTTCAATCTGTTTAAAAGAGGAACATTTACAGTTAAAATATTTCTCTGCACTCACCAGAAAGGCACAGAGCATGTAGAAGCTGACAAAGTAAATGATGGCAAACTGGCTGCCACAGTCCTCATTGCCTGCGTTGTTCTCGTTGGTTGATCCTTTCTCACACGGCCGACTGTACGAGCACGCCAGCATGATCTCCTGCCATGCCTCACCTGTTGCACATCTGATAGATAGACATGCATGCGCACACCCACACAAATACGCACACACGTTGACGCGGATACGCATGCAAAGATATACGCACATATACGGATACATTAGAGGTACGCACACATGCATAGATGTGTGCATGTGCGCGCCCATGCACCAGCATGGAGTCACATGTGCATTTATGCATTGACACACACATACAGACGCGTGGACGCGTGCATGTATGCATACGGGAATAGAAGCATATAGAAACACGCACACGCACATAGATACAAAGACAGAGAGGAGCAGACACATAAACAAAAACACACACACATATGCATCAGTGTTAGTGTGAACGCCATAAAGAGCAACATCATAATTACATCTTGATGGTGAATTTACAGAGCAACAGCAAAGAAATGTGATTTTATATTTGCTTTAATTTGAGAACAAGATGTTGTCCAAACTACATCTGTCTTCCATTCTGAATACTTCAGTACTATTGAGCTTTCTGACTCTGCAGCTGCTGCTTTGCCAGGCGATCATTTTTGGTGCTTTAATTTATGAAGTGTTTGCTGGATTTAAATGACACTGCAGTATGAAGTATCCAAGTATCCTGTCTCTCTGAATGGAAGCCCATTGCTATGATATATTCCATGAAGGGGTCAGCACACCGAATATGAACGAATAGAAAAGATGCCTTTTATGACTTTTCTGCAAAATGCTTACAAAAGAAGTAAAGTGGCTGCCAAACTATACCACCATATTATGGAAAAGTCACTACAGAGATAAAGCTTTTTGTTAAAGAGTAAGATAGGATTAAGAATAATAGCCGTGAAATCGCTATCGCTAAAGCCACCAGACTCCATTTAAATAAACCATGATTGTACAGTGTGCAGAGCCAGCATATTTTTTACATCTGACTGGTGAATAAAGGGTTTACTTCAGCCAAACCAGAGTTGTTGGTTACTGGAACACTGAAAAGACAAACCACGATGATTAATGTGACTTTTGTTTCCGGTGACCTCAAATGAAGTGTGTTTTTTAAGATGATAAAGTTACTCTTTATTCAAATAGAGTCTGGTGGCTTTGGCGACAGATGGTGAGATAAATGCCTACAAAAATAATAGAATGGCTGCCAAACCACACCGTAGTTTATCATATCTGATCTATCCTTTCAGTTTCTGTGTTGTTTTTTTTTTGTCCCCTGCATGGAATCTTACCATCATCGCAACCACACAGGACAGAGAGGCTCTGAGACTGGATCCGGGTAGATTAAATGTATTATCAGTAGACTCCTCTGACAACTGAAAAAGGTGTCGTCCTCAGTGGACCAAGACATTTTACGGTAAATAAGAGTCAAATTTACAACAATTATCAGCTAACTAATGAGCATACAGGTGAGACAATGAGAGCTTTTAAACTCTTGGTGCAGTAACACTATGTCACAGTACAAACTGATAAAACATTATCCCTCATTGGCTCCTGTGCAGAGTCACAGGGTTGGCTAAATTCACATCTTGACATTTACAGAATCCTGGCATTTAATTAACCCGCTGCTGTCCTAAAATGTCAGTGGTAACCTCTAATGTGAAATAAAAAAATGATTTTCAGAGTAAATGGAAGAGAGAAAATATAGAGGGAAAAGAAAGTTACTGTTGTTGATGTCACATCACAGGAATTATCATCTTCCTCACCTGAACAGCAGCAGCACTGCCTGAGGGAACGTCTGGAAATTGTTGTTCCTGTTGATCTGCGTGTGGTCCCGCAGCGCTATCTTACCAAACATCTGCACAGTAGGGGGAAGGAAGTAGTCACAGCACACAGGATATGACATCAGCATTGACAGGTGGAAGTGACTGCTCTCTGGGTCAATCAAAATTAAAAGGCCACTGTCCCTCTCATCATCAGTGATACAAACAAACTCAAAAGGACAGGAGGACAGATGGAGAGAGGAAGAGGAGAGACTAGCAACAGCTAGAGGAGGAAGAGAAGTGGAGGAGAGAGGGACGACGTGACCGAACAGGAACTCTGGATGACAAGACTCCAGGAGGACAGACACAGGATGGAGGCCAGCTGGAGGAGAGAAGGAGAGAGAAGAAAACACAACAGAGGGAGGGAAACAAGGTGACAGGACAACAGCTTACCTGCATGCCGATGACAGCGTATATGAAGAATAGCATCACTATAAGCAGAGCTACGTAGGGCAGAGCCTAAAGAGGAGAGACACACTTTAGTAACAAGTAGGTGACAGTATTATCCTACACCAAGGCTGGAGTCCATTCACTTTCATTCAGTCATCGCAGATCCACTTAGTCTGAAACTGACTTAAGAAATTCATGTTGAAAAGGGCTGATTAACCTCACACATCTATTTCTTGGTGTTTCAAATTATCAGGTGCAATATAAAAACTGTATTGTTCCTTTATGAAATGAAAGTGAATTGATCTGTAGCCCTGTGTGGCACAACACCAAAAACAAACCAGGACAAATCATCTGACTTAGGAGTGAAAAACCTCAGCAAAATACAAACTGCTCTCTGACTTTAGCCAGGAGACCAGTCCCAGTGTATTGTGCATGAGCCAAACAAGGCCAGAGCAGGTATGTCTTCTACATTCACACAGCTGGGAGACTGCGTGGAACTGAGCTCCTGGCTAACATTACCCCTGTGACTGTGAGGACAGGGCCAAATCATGACGGGTAAAGTTCCATTATGTGTAAAATGTACCTGTGTGAAAGGGAATATTCTGTATTTTTCAACCTGCATCCTATTTTTTCATTGTATTTGTGTCTAAGGCCCTGACACACCAAGCAGACGATCGGTCGTCGACCAAAGTCGGGACGTCGGTGAGCGTCTATCGGCCTAGTTTTTGCGGTGTGTCCTGCACCGTCTGCCCTATGGCGTTGGCTTCTTTTTGGCCGATTGAGCACGTTGAATCGGCGGCGGAGCTACTCAGTGAAACAGATCACTCTGATTGGCTGTTCAGGTTTTATTCCCTCGCCCCTGTAGCGAGTGAATCTGCCTGTAGTGAAACTGGGGCTAACCGGTGCTTCCTCCTCAGGCTCCACTTCACTTGGCTGCCCGACAGACCCACTGCTTCTTCCCACTTTAACCTGAATAACAAACCGGAGCTAGCTGGGAGGCTAGTGGAGTGTTAGCCGCAGCATGACTGGAGGGAAGCACAGCCAGTTAGCCTCCGCTGGCTTCCCAGCTAGCCCGGCTCTCCGTTTGAATCCAAACGGAGAGCCGGGGCTAGCTGAGAGCGTTTAGTCTCTGAGCTAGCCCCGGTTCAGAGACTAGCCGCATAGTTGGCTTTCGTCGCTGCTAGTTCTTTGATGTCGGTTTGGTGTGTCCGCACCTTAAGTGACTTTAAACTGGTCCAGTATTAAAGAAGAGCGTGGAAGCTGGCAGCCGCAAAACAGGCTACTATATGACCATTACCGTCCATTAAACGTAATTGTTTTGCTACTGACAGGCTCAGATTGTTATTGTAAGTCTGACAACATTATCGGAAGGATCCCTACAGAGATAGACCTCTCTGTTAAAGAGTAAGATCCCTTTTGTTTAACCAGAAACAGCCCTAAAATCACTTTTGCCAAACCCACCAGACTTCATTAGAATAAACAGCAATTTTAGCATGTATAGAGTCACTATATTTTCATCTGACTGTGTGAATTGAGGGTTTATTTCAACCAAATCAGAGTTTGTGATTGTCGGAACAGTGGAAAGACGAACCAAGATGGCTTTTGACGGTTTAATTAACCCTTAATTCCCCGATTAGATGTGAAAATATGTCTCTATCCAAGCTAAAATTAGTGTTTATCTGAATGGAGTCTGGTGCCTTTGGCAATAGCAATTTTGGGTCTGTTTCTGGTTGAACAAAAACGATTTTACTCTTCAACAAAAAGGTTTGTCTCTGTAGGGATCCTTTCATAATGTTGTAGGACATTTGTATTAACAATCTGAGCCTGTCAGTGGCAAAAACAAACACTTTTTATTGGACTAAATTGACGATACGCACATGGCTGAAGCGCTCTGGCTCAGTACTGGGGCAGTTCCAAAAACTGTTGTTCCAGAATTAGTCACATAAACACAGAAAAATAGGTAGATCCAGGTTGAAAAATGCTGACATTACCCTTTAAGTACAGTAACATCTTTATGAGCACTACTTATTTTAAATCACAGATTAGTTTTTGCTGTATCACCAGTATTTAATATTGCTCTAACATGAAGAGGCCCGTCTCAATTAACACAAGAGAGAGAACAGATTATTTTCATTTCCTCATAACTCTAATCAAATGATTTCATTTTTTGGTGGAGTGCTTCGTTAAACTTATCTACTGCTTAACCCGCCTACGGGGAACGGTGAGCTTTCAGGGGTTAGTAGTAGGGTGTTTGGAGGGAGAGGAGAGTAGAAGTAGAAGTGGAGAAAGAAGAGGAGAGATGAGAAGGCAAGAGGAGAAAATAGATTGATGGTCAAGGTTCTTGATTTCCTGCCTGTTTTCCCTACATCCCTCCCTGCCTCTGCAACAAGACTCCTAAACCTCCTCTCCGTTACCTCACACCATCCCTCCTCCTTTTCCTCCTTTGCCACCTAGACTAAGATATTCGATGTCCCAATCTTTACGATTTCTTGCAAAAATAGGAGGTGGAGACGAGGAGGGAGGAGGCAAGGAAAGGAAAGGTGGCTTGTGAGACTCCACCAGGCTGGATTTACACAAGAACAAAGATATTTTTATCCCCATGTGACTCAGATTTGTGGCGGTGTATGTGCCCTCTGCCTGCATTTTCTTATTTTAATCTTGTTCTGTGTGTTTGGGGCATTTATGGGTGAGTAGCCCCACAGTGCTTAGGTGTGGTGGCATGTATTCAGGAGACACAGCGCCAAAAAATGCAGATATAGCAACGTGAAACGCCAAACGAGAGTGAATCTAGGGCCGTGGTTTACTTTCAATTTGCTGGCTAGCATGTTAACAAACTTAAACTAGTCCATTCTGGATTAATTAAGGAGATAATCACCTTGTTGACTGAATCTAGTGGATTACATTACATTTTAATACGGAAAAAATGCAGTAAAAAAGTGAAATGTAGGTAAAACAGTACGATGCCACCCAAAAAAGGGCTCCAATCTGGGTCACATTAGGGCTAAAGCTCCACGTTCCCTCCGCCCTTTCAGTCCTGTGTAAACCCAACCCCCTGCACTAGCATGTTGTGTCCGGTTCTCCCCTCACTTGGAAGGATTTGATGAAGGTCCACAGCAGGGTCCGAATCCCTTCCCCGCGAGACAGCAGCTTCACCAGCCTCATCACGCGGAACAGTCGGAAGAAGGTGATGGAGATCCTGGCGTTCTCTTCAGAGTTCTGCAGTCCCTTTTGGTGGGGTTTGGTGTTTTTTTCAGAAAAAAAACACAGGACGCATGGGGACACATGCAGATAGGTAAAGGGTAGGGAAACACACACGCACATACACACACAGGTAAAGATGAAGATACACACAGACATTTGCAGAAATGCGGACGTACAAGTAACATTCAAATACATATTCCCACCCACATATATGTGGATGTAAATATGTACACGCACACACACACACACACACACATGCACACACATACACACACACACACACACATATACACAGAGTTAATAAATGGAAATTTGCGTCCTACAAAATCCCATCAAAATCAACTGACAAAAGAGATCTGGGAGAGAATCGGGCAATCATGCTTAATTTTTCTGGCTTCATGGAAAAAACACTTGGCAACAAAGATCATCTATTACCTTCCTAAATACACCTGCGCAACCTCTCTTTAAAAGATAAGCCCAGCTATGCAACAAGAAAATTGCCTAACCATCAAAGCTAAAAATGACTCCAGTAAACTTTACTATTCTTAAATCACGGCACTCTGCTGTTACTTCTACATCAACTCAACGCTGTCATAATCAAGGTGAAGAACACACTCCTGGGTGTTGTTTCTAAAACCTATTACAGGTTAATTCAGCCTTGCAATGACATTTTACAAACAAGCATTTAAATACCTTAGGAGCCCCTGAAGTAAATCATTTCACTAAGCTGAAAGCTTTGGTTATTCTGCACTGGTACGGACTAAAAGTCTAATAGCAGAGACCAGGCCAGAGAGATTCTCATCGATAGACGCTACCCCTTTCATAAATCACTGATAACAATTCACAACAGATATAGTACAAGTATCCTAGCCTGCAGGCAGATTCCTGTTTCAATAAATCATGCAGGCAGTCTAATTGTTTGTCTGTCATGGAGCAACTGGCCACCAGGAGGAACAATCCAAAGATGACTTTCAGGTGGATAAAGATATTACAGCTCAATGCAGCCACTGCCAGGTACAAAAATACACTTTTCATGAGTGCTTAATCTCTTCATCTTTACTTTTTGTTTACAAGGATGCTCTATAAACAGTTTTTTACCCCTGCAATCTTTTTATTTGCAGAGCCTCTTGCAATGAGCATGCAGTATTTTCCCTCCTGAGGCATTTAAGCCATCCATAATTTGGTATACTTTGGAAAATTGCAGTTTATTCAGAATATGCCTTGGTAGACCTCTGAAGTACAAGCTTGAGAGGCACTGTAGCTTTCTAACTGTCTATTGTCCCAGTACTCATCCACAGGAAATAACTCCATGATGAAATATTCAGCTATCTTGCTGAGTGCTATTCTAATACAGATTTATTTATTCATGCTGCTGCTGCTCATTCTCAGGGACAAAAAGGGGGAAAAACAAAGGCAACATCAGGATTTGTGTAAAGCATGATGCAGTTAATACAGCGACTAAGGACCCTGTATATTATTCACAGTTATACAGCCAGCGGCAGATGGATCTGGTGAAGCCTTCGTGTAACTACCAAACCATCAGCAACCATAACAGCAGTAACAATTGTGCAAAAATGCTACAAAAATTGTCAAAAACATCTAACTCCTGCACAAAAATTAATCAGTATGCAGCTTGACCACATAGAAATGCAGCACTTACACCACAACAGTTCCACACTACATCTATCCTCACTGTGATTTATCAGATACGACCCTAAAAACACATCGTCCTATCTGACCTCTAAATCGGTCTCATGCCATTTGTGTTTTTCCAAGAGGCCATCAATTCTTTATGCTAATCCCACAGAGAAAACACAGTGTGCTCCTGAAAAGAACCAGCCATTCTCCACACATCTTACTGCAGTTTGGGATAACAGATGTCACATGTTACTTTCCAACGCAGCACATCTTGGAGTTGTTTCCAAAAAATGTTCTATAGAAATTAAACACTGGAAAATTCACCTTATGGATTGGATTAGTCTGTATCTCTGGGGACACTGAGAGCAGTTTGGCTACTTTCTAAAGCTAGGTGTCACATTTTTTATGGTGTTGACAAGTAACCCAAGACATGAGTTGTCCCAAACTCCACGGACAGATATGCAGAAAATGACAGATCCTTCTGAGGAGTGAAAATTCTGTACTGCATGTAATACCACAACTGGACCACAGTGGGGACCATTGCACCATTGAGAGAGTGGGGCAGTGAGCGGGAGAGGTACAGTGACAGTAAGTGTAACAGAGAGAGATAGAGAGACAGAGTCTGAATATGAGGAATAGTTTGAATTATTCAGAGACATCAAAACAAATAGACTGCTTCACAGGTAGAGAGGACAGATAGACAGATAGATAGATAGATAGATAGGTAGGTAGATAGATAGATAGATAGATAGATAGCAGACCAGTGGAGAACGGTGAAAGAAAGAGAGACAGCGTGATAGCGTGACCATGATGGCTTGCACTCATGACAAAGCACTGTAGATACCACACCCATAAGGGAAGGGGGAGCAAGTTGCAAGCCATGGAGGAGGTGGGGGGCAGCGGGCACCATGGCAACAACAATAGCCACTCAAGGAAAGTCACAAGACTCCAGTTATACTAGGCCTGCACGATACAGTGTCCTTCACCAAACACACACACACATATATATATTCATATTTAAACATGTAAAAGTACGAACAACAGCTACATGAATAAAACTCCCGACATGCTGCAGAGGATGACAGCAGGAGCGACAGAGGGGGAGACGACAGGACGAATGAGAAGCCACAAGTTTTGGATCATACCATGGTTGGCGTAGCAGGAGGGATGGAAGGATGGAGGGATGGAGGGATGGTGGAGGAGGTAGGGAGGCGGACGAGGTTACCGTCGGAGCGTACCATTGGCCTTACCACAGGGGGGTGAGAGGAGGAAGAGGAGGAGGAGGAGGGCGAAGAGGAGGAGGACGAGGACGAGGAGGAGTCAGCTGGCTTTAAGGAAAGGCAACAAAGATCAGCACCAGAGCAGCGCCTTGGTGTGTGTGTGTGAGTGAGTGTGTGTGTCACTGTGTGTGTACAGTATGTGTGTCTATTAATGTTTTTATGTAAGAAGTAGTGAGAGTTTTGCACCAGCCCTAAAAATAACTCACAGGCTACTGAGTCTCTGATCAGCCCTCACATGGTGGAAAGGTGAAAAAAATAATTTCATGTGAGCCAGGAGGGAGAGCTCTATAAAACGTTACTGCGTGTAGAGACTGAACTCATCCACTGTGAGGACCACTTTGGGCTGTAGCACGGTACGTGAAGACTGAAACATGTAGGAAGTTTAAGATATTGGGAAATTGCTGTCCAACGCCTTGAGGGCCAAAATAATGGATGATGGTCTGGAGTCACCACAAAGGGGAAAAGAGCTGATGGTGTACATGTCTATGTGCAACCTAGCTTATGTCACGTGAGCCTATGGGTTTGTGTGTATGATGAAGGATAGAGGGGCGCCTCCGCGGCTATCTGTTTTTCTTTCTGCCAGCTGAAGCTACGGTGCAGCAACAGTTTTTGAAGCTTTGGCTTAAAGTAATACTTCACCCACAAAATGATCATTTCAGCCTGTGTTACGCTGAATTTATAAGAATTTTTTATTTTTTTTTGCATGCCCCAAAAAATCATTCATTCATTTTCTGTAACCACTTATCCTGTTGGGGGTCGCAGGGGTGCTGGAGCCTATCCCAGCTGACAATGGGCGAGAGGCGAGTTACACCCTGGACAGGTCTCCAGACTATCACACGGCTGACAGATAGAGACAGACATCATTTATGCTCACAGTCACACCTATGGGCAATTTAGGGTCACCAATTAATCTGCATGTCTTTGGACTGTGGGAGGAAGCTGGAGCATCTGGAGAAATCCCACGCCGACACAGGGAGAACATGCAAGCTCCACACAGAAGGGCTCCCCCATCCCAGGGCTCAAGCCCCCCACTCGGGGTTCAATCCAGGAACCCTCTTGCTACACTACTGCACTGCCAAAAAAGGATCTGAAAATGGCAAAAATATATCAAATCATCTTTCACACAACTCGTGCAGTAAAACCAAAGTCTAATTTATCCAGTCATGCGCTCAGTACTTCCCAAACAAGCATTTTTGCTAAAAGCCTCATGTTTTAAACACTCCTACATCTAACGTAGGGACGAGTTGTGCACCTGGGCAATCGTGTACGTTTGTATTCTGCTCGATGAAATACACAAGCAGAGTTCAAATGCATGATTTTTCCAGCCACCTTCGCAAAAGATACTTTTGTTTGTGAAGCACTGAGTATACGACTTGACAAATGAGACTTGGATTATAATACACAAGTTTTGTGAGAGTTTGGATTCTTTCTTTTTTTACAATACATTTTGGGGTATTTTTGCCTTTATTTGACAGAACAGATAAAGTGTGAAAGGGGGACTGAGAGTGGGGATGACATGCAGCAAAGGGCTTTGGGTTGGAACTGAGCCGGTGCCACTTCAGCAAGGACATAGCCTTTGTACATGAGGTGCCTGCTCTGCCAGGTGAGCTAGTGGGCACCCCTAATTTTGGTTTCCTTGTTCACGATTGAGGCATGTGAGAGTTTTTTTCTTTTTTTTCTTCATGAATTTAAACACGGGCCAAGTTACTGTTATAAAATGGTCATTTTGTGTGTGAAGTATTCCTTTAAATCAGACTACGTTTACCAAATGCATCTTGGCATCAAAGGACAATGCCTCCCTATAGAATATGTGTTATTCAAGCCTTTCTCTGACCTGAGAATAGTCAAGCTCCAAGTGAAACTTAATCTACTTTCAGGTCAAAGAGACATCAGCATAACACAATAAAAAAGACAGGAAGTCAAGATCATCTCGGTCGGTCAAAGATGATTTTAGATGCTTTTGGAAATCGGAGCCTACAAGTATTTAAAAGACACTGAGAAGCACAAAGATAACATACTGTAGGGAGACACCTACTGGTCATCTCTGGTATTACAACATTTTACACCACTGGGAGTGATAGATTAGTTTAATCTATAACTCACTGTGCCTCAGTGTTGGCCCTGTTAAAATACCTTACCATGAAAGGAAGCATTTAAAGGAATTCTATCAGAGCCATACAAACAACTTTATGATCACACACATTAATGATGTACAAAGAGTAATAGGTTACTATAGTTTTTAAGACGGCCTACTTATAAACTTGTTTTACAGGCGCACACTCTTTAGGAAGGTATAATTGTTGCGTAAGAGAGTGTGTGTGTGTGTGTGTGTGTGTGTGTGTGTGTGTGTGTGTGTGTACATGTCTGATGTGAAGAGCTGAGGCATTACAATGTGAAGGGAAGGAAAGTTGGAAGGAAGGACAACTGTAGGAAAGACGGGAGGGAAGAGTGATGATAAAGGGGAGACAAAGATGAGTTGGAAAGATGGGCAGGAAGGAAGGAAGGAAGGACGGAGGGAGGGATGATGATACTGATTCAAACTAAGTGAAGACTAAATTATAACTAGTTTATGGAAGAATATGTGTTTGTCCGTTTGCGTGAATTACACAAAGGGCCAGCTGGGTCAATTTAAGCATAATTTAAATCAGAATTTGCTTCAATTTCAACGTGAAATCAAAGCTGTGAACTAGAATCCGATAATTACTCATTATCATATTTCTTATGATGAAGTGACATAAAGTGACCTACAGAGACTACTGGGGACCTGGAGGATCCATGCTCGGGTTGTAATTTTAACCAAACAAAGACAGTCAATTTGTACATAAATAAATACACAGTAGTCCTTTCAGGCTGAACTACAGTGCAGATGTGAGTTACTGTAGGTGCAGTTCATCAGATTTATGAGCTCATTTAAAATATCTTGAGCTGTTTTCTCACATTGCACATCATGTTTTCAAGCAAAGATTTCATCAGTTCAGTCAGTTCAATAGGTAACATGGGTTTCTTGAGAACATTCTGACCCCAAATTTGAGGTTTATGCCCCTTTTTGTTTATGTTTAATTCACATATTTTAAGGTGCAACACTGCAACATTAAAGTGCATTTCAATTCAATTTATAGCCACTAATATATAGCAGATAATTCTTTGACATGTTAGGGTATATAAAAAGCATGAGAGACCCATGTTACCCAGCTTGCACTCCAGGTGAGCAAGCAACACCGCAAACCAATGAGAGAGAAGACAGAGAAAGAGATAAACATCCATAAAAGAAGAGTTAAGTGAACTGAAAAAGCTCAGAAAGAGAAAGACAGATGGAGAAGAGGAGAGGAGGCATTCCGAGTAGAGAGAAAGAAAAAGAGAAATAGATGCAGTCCATACTGGCATCATCTGCAAGACACCGCTCAGAGCAAACCACTACAAGTCTGTTCACACTACTTCTACTCAAAACAAAACAAAACAAAACAGGAAACATAAAAGAAACCATATAGGATTTAAGAAGCACCCGCAGGTTGCTGGGGAGAATTAGAGACCCAGGATTAAGTAAGTATTCTAATTCGATGACCACAAAAAAGTGCAGCTAATCTAAGTCAACAAGCACCCGACAGAGCAGCGAAGTGGGTGCACTCAAACGAGAGATTTTAGCCATTTAATATTTACTAAAAGCAAAGTGATAACATTTTAAAAGCTGGCCTGTTACTGCACTTCTCTGTGTACTTAGGAATGCAATGGCAGAGAGGTAGCTGTTGGCAAGCTTGCTACTATTAGTTTCTAATTGCATTGCTCAGTACGTTAAAAAGCATTCAACTTGAGCTTTAGTGGCTGATGAAATGCAGTAGCAGGCTAAAATCTAAAATGTCTCCGTGACAGGGTCCCAGTTCGAAAACAGTCAAGAGTTCTCACAGGATTGAAGTGCGGAGGGTTTCTTAAAAAATGAAAATATAGAAAAGGTAGCTTGGGCATCGCATCACCCAAATGATTAAAAACCACCAGAGAAGAAGAAGAAGAAAAAAGACTTGGGGCATGCCTTTAGGTTAGGGGTGAGAGCGGAAAATAATGACACATTCAGAAAGAACTGCAAACCAATCAACAAAATCAATCAAACCAAATCAAAGGCAAACCAAACCAAAGTGTTAAGTGCAACATCAGTGACTTGTATAGATGACAAAGATGTATATCTCTGGCCTGTTGAACCTCAGTATAAAGGTAGCTATCATTGTCAGTCCCCAACGTAAATATTTCATCTCAAATTGATTTTTTTTTTCAGTCTGTCAGCCTTTCAAAAGTGTATATGTATATATTTATGTATTTATACACTCCTCTCATTATATGTACGAAGGCATACTTTGCTCAGATCAGACACATTCACTGACTGCAGAGAAACATCAGGACATTTATGATGCTTTCTGATTCCCCTGACATCAGATTTCCGTAATAACTAGATGGAATAACTGAATAAAACAAAAAAATATCCAAGCGCAGTTTTGAAATTACTCAGTGTCGCTTTTGAGCAGCTCTGTCGGCCTCTCATGGGGACAAATAGATTCCCTTTCTAAAGGCCCGAAAACAACTGCCAAGCTCATGCACCCCTGGGATACACTAACCTTATTTGTATGCCTGACCAGTGCTGTCTGAGGTGAAACACACTGCATTCCACCACGGGGGAGCATACCGGTGTACACGTGTGCATATCTTTTCTCTGCTTTGTGTCCTCAAACCAGCAGCTGGATGCGAGAGCATTTCAGGCAAACCTATACTCCCATGTAGACAAAATGTAGAAATCTATCTATAATTGATGTAACTGTTAAAACTTAGATACATATATGGCTCAGTATAACCTCAGACTTCACGTCAATATCTTCATGTGTATCAAATTAGTGGATGTGGATAGGGATACAGCATAAACTGTGACCAAAAAATAGGAACTGGTTTTGGGAAACCGGCTTACAGCATTTACTTTCTTGCCAAGAGTTACACCAAAAACCTATCAAGCAGTGGCAAAGTGCAGAGCAGGCCAACAAGATATTATGGTATACAGGGTATTTAGAAACCTTGAGGGTATTTAATACTGTCAAAAATACAGAGGCTTCTCTTTCTATTTAACTGACAGGGAGATGCTGTATTGAGGTGATGTACCGCATGTAATGCACAGCAAGCGCCACCAGAGGTCAGTCTCTGCTGGTGGAACAGGCAGCTGACCTGAGACAGATGGCGACTGCAAGTAGTAGGGATAACGTTACAGGACTAGTACAAAGCCGACCAATTCAGGATTTATTTTGTTCAAACCAGAACTAGTGATTTTTTTAACAATGGAAAGATTAACCAAGATGGTTTTGGGGAGTTTTGTTTCTTTCTTTTTTTTTTAAAGATTATTTTTATGGGCTTTTTTGCCTTTATTGACAGGACAGAGAGTGAAATGGGGAGACAGAGAGAGAGTGGGAACTGACATGCAGCAAAGGGCCGCGAGCCGGATTCGAGCCCGCGGCCACTGCAACGAGGCGATGCCTCTGTACATGGGGCACCGGCTATCCACTATCCACTACGCTACCGATGCCCCAGGGGAGTTTTGTTTCTGTCGAGAAACACAAATACCATCATATACCATTTACCCCGCTGAAATTCCAGGATGTTATAAACGTAGAAAAAAATAGATACCATCCAATCCTAGTGTGGAGGCACAGGTTCATGTGTTTAAGGCAGGAAGAAATTCTTTGTGAAGTAGGTCAAAATGTCACAGAAGTCACAGGATTGTGTTTACGGATTGGCTGCTGGTATTTTTTGGCCACAATTCAGTGCAAAAACTGTCACAATCTGTAGTTTGTCTGCTCTTTGTTGCATAATTAAACAGCCATAGCTGACTGAGCTCTGCGTGGTAGCCGCAGCTTTCCGCTGATATAGCATGGCCACTGCTTGGTGTGGTTCTGGTGTTAGATGAGAAGACTGATCCTTCTCCCATCTCTGCATGCTAAATATCAAACTGCAACCAGACATCTGCTGGTTTATCTTAGTTTAAGATGAAAAGCAGGGAAGGCAGCTCGTCTGGTTCTGTCGAAAGGTAAAATATTGACCCTGTCATCTTACTCTTGGAAATTAAGCATATTTCCAGAAATGTCAAACTAATTCTTTAAAGGATCAAACAATGATTAAACTACGATATAATAACCTACATTTAACACTTAAGTATTTAGAAGAAATGAAATGTTTTAATTGCTTCACAGACACCAAGCAAAGCTGGTATGTGTGTCTTCATAAGCTTAAACAAATATTAAGTGTGAACTCACAGGGAGCCTCCACCTACAAAGCTGCCACTTGAGCTACATTCAGTCCCCTGAGGAAGTTTCACTGGATGTTTGCTACTAGAAATGCAAATTTTGGCAGACAGAAGCCGAGGCATCAAATGGAATTAAGTAATAGACTCTCGTACAAAAAACTCCTTCCAAGTATAAAGACTGTTTTTTTTTCATGTGACATTCAGCTCTCTGGCCGGTCCGATCATAATACAACATTATTTTCTTCTCTGGCAAATCAGCACACACAGCAAAACTTATCCTCTTCTAATGCTAAATTAAGAGGAGTTGTATCCAGCCGCACTTTGCATGGTTCTCAGCCTATTCTCCTGCCAAAGAGCACTTTGAATATAACATGAATAAAACACCAATTATCCCTGAAGTGTAAATACAATAGACACTCAACATTTGACTTGTGTTTGGGATATTCATTCTTATTCAGCCCCACTGTTGACCATAGGGCCTCCACGTCGATAATAAATGAATTTCATACATACATTTACATAAATTTCACGGGTCCTGAGTAAATCCATTTATGGATCAAATTGTTCCCCATGTCTGCACATAACTACTGTCGGACAAAAATAAAATTAAAAAAAAAAAAAACCCAACTGCAACTTGTATTTTTCTCATTTGAATTTAAAGTTTCCCTGATGATTTATGAATTGAGAGCGTTTCACGACCCTCGGGTCAAAATGGCATTGTTCAGAAATGAGAATCTGTGTTTCCTTCTTCTGTCCAGAAAATCTGTTGTTTGCATAATTGTGGATCTTTACTGTAAACATTATACGTACAGTACCAGGCCTGGATATACCACCTTTACATCTGTCATGCTATACAGTGTCCATCATGCCAGGGGAATGGACACTCTCCCCTGCGGCAATGATAAAAGGTCAAATAAATGTGAAAGCAAACCAAGTGCTGAGACAATGCAATAGGTTCTATTGGCAAATGCAATAGTTTTTGATGCTATTGATGCTCAGCAGACTGAGGCAGGAATACCGATCTGAAGCAGTTTCAAATGTTAGGAAATCTTTACAAAATAATACTAAGAGGACAGAGTTTTAACTGCAGCCTTTTTACGCTGCTGATAATAAATGCGCAGGAATGGAAAGGAAGTACAGGTTGTGAAACAAGTTTTTTTGCAGCCTCCAATTTTATAACATTCTAAGAAATATAATATGATAAAGTAATGATGTTTGTTTCCCAACAGCCAACATATTAATTATAAATCAAACTGACAAAGACAAACAGTATTTAGATGTCAAAGGTCTTAAAGCAAAACTGTAAAATTTAGAGTTTCATACATTTTAAATTACACAAACCCCTCACAGGACACTGTGCTGCATTCCGATTGCACTACATCTGGCTGTTTTCACTGCCAGAGTCATTCAGCCGTCTGCTAAGTTCAAATGCGGTGCAGCTGAAGTTTCCTAATCATTTGAAAGCATGCGAGATGGGTATCGGCGCTCTGTCTGTTTGTGTGTGTGGGAATGGCACAGCAGGCAGGCAGGAAGGGAGGGAGGGAGTTGGACTACTTACGTTAACCTCAGTGATCGCTATGTCAACAATGCTACCCACAACTATCAAGGCATCAAATGTGTTCCATGCATCAACAAAATAATGCTGCGTAGGGGTGGAAAGAACAGAAAAACAACAGAAGAAAAGGACAGAACATAAGACATTTAAAAAAATGGAAAAAAGGTAAATCAAAGGAGAGAGGAGAAAAATAAGATAAAAAACATTATATACATGAGCACTGGAGTTTTTAGTAGGAGGAGAGAGGGGAAAGAATCAACCAAATTTAACGGCAAAAAAATAGAAAAGAAGGGGCAGTCTGAAAGAAATGGACAGCAGAGGAAGAGCAGTGGCGATCGGTCATGCTTGTCCATGAGAGGAAAATGTCAACAACAAGAACAACAGTAAAGAACAAATTGAAACAAAATCACAACAAAAATAAACGCCCCTGTTGCTGTAGTTAAAAAATGATGTGTGAGTCTGTTTGCGATTGGTCAGTGAGTTAGTTCAGTTAGTGAGGGAATCAAACCTGAGGACATGTCACAGTCTGACAAAAAGAAAAAAAAAATCAAGAACCCGACAACATCTGAGATACTGTGAGGAACAAGGAAGGAGGACGCAAGGCAGAAACCCCTTTGTGTTCAAAGCTAAACCCTGCCTGCTTTTTAAGAAACCCAGGAAGAAGCTTGTTCTTGCTCAGGAACCCTTCTGCTTGGGGGGGTCCCCTGAGTAGCAGCGGCCATCTTGGAGTTAAGGATGGAGGGAGAGAAAGAGGAGGAAGAGAGAGAAGGAGGAGAGACGAAGAGAAGAGACAGCACAACACAGAGGAGCCACGGAGGAGAGGAGAGTGGCAGGAAATGAAAGATTCAGAAAAAGCAAGAGGGCACAAGACAGAGAGGAAGAGGGAGCGACAAGGAGAGTGAGAGTGGGCATCGTACTTACGTTGATCTCACTGAGAATGACGTCTATTATGCTGCCAATTACGATGAGGAAATCAAACACATTCCAGGGATCACTAAAGTACCCCTACACAGGATGAGGTGAGCAAGAGGAGACGGAGGAGGAGGAGGAGGAGGGTAAGAAAGGTAGGTTAGAAGGAAAACAACATCTGCTGCCACTTCGCAGCCCTATTAAGGTGGTATGAGGTTGTACAGTACACTGAGGAAAAAAATCAGCTGATGAACCGACACATGAAAGGACACAACTTTGTTTCCTTTGCAGTATCTGTTCATCCAGTGCAGCTGAACCTCCTGCTCTGTTATGGCGTGTTAGATGGCAGTTATTTAAGTCCTCCACCTGCATCTTGGGGCGATTCAGCAATGCTGTGGCAGTGATTACACTAAAAGCCCACTTTGTTTGCTTAACTTATTGACGGCAATTCATCATCAGCAGTGGTACAAAGGGAGTATTTATGAAAAACATCCACATAGCTTAAGGCCAACATTTAGAGTGGTAAAAATAAAAGATATATCATATGTGCTGTAAACGGAGAGAGCTGCGTTGTTTTGTGGTGTCGGGACACAGCTTTTGTAGACTTGAACTCGGAGAGACAGCCAAGATCTAACAAGGGTAATTTGGAAACTGGCCTGGCACATGGCCTTTTCAGAAACATTTCCATATACTGTAAAGCAAATTACATCTCATTCACATTTAGGCGGATTGTTTTCCCATAACACATTCAGATGTTTTGTCACTGTGGGCTAAGAAGGCTAATGATGTAACCATGTTTGTGCCAATGTTGTGTTACAAGACCGAAGGAAATCTGTTAGTTGTTGTATATCTAAAGATGGCTGGAGCAGGGGAATAAGAAGTATCACTGTCTGGAGAATGAGATGTGAGGCCTTTACTGGGGCTGGATACCAAACCTCGATACTTTTATGGTACCGACCAAATTGCTTCAGTGCTATCGAGTATTCAAACTGCCTTGTTTTTCGGTTCCAAATTTCGAGGAGGAGGAGAGGCTTTGCCAGGTCAGGCTCTGAAACATTGTTCTTTTTTGCCGTCTGCTTAGAAATGGTGACTCTACAGCTCACGGAAACTTAATACGATACAGTCTCTGGGTTTTGTTTGATATCGTCGTTGCACATTTCAGATCACTGTATTTTGAGAATAACACTGTCCCCTTGAACGTTCCACCAAGGCCAATTCAAACTCTCAAACTCTGTATGGGATGAATGGGCAAATAGTCGAATATTCTTATTGTACCTCAAAGTCCGATATAACTGATATAATTCAGTGTTTCCCACAGAATTACAATCTATGCGTGGCGGTAGTCGACAAGGGCGGGGGCTTTTAATCATTCTTTGTCACCTCTCTGAAGTTGGAGGTATTTGTGGGTCTGTGAACGCAGCACTGGTGGATGTTTTTTGCCCCTCAGAAGCACTTGTGGAGTTTGAGTCGTGGGTTGGATAACTGATCAGACAGAAAGTATCAAAAGATGAGAGGAGCAGCTGCTGCAGAGGTGAGTAAATGCAAATTTTTAGACCCAGCGCAATGAGTGGTCAGGTAAGTTGTACTTTCACCGTCCTGATCATTCTGCTGCTCCCTCTGAGCCCAGAATACGCGTTGCTCTCCGAGAGTGTGGTGCAACAAATAACAATTGATGTATTTATTCCTGCAATTCTGAGTTGGACACTGAACGTACGATATAAATTAAAGAGCAGAAAGTTGCTCTGTGTTTGATTGCAAGAGGAGGAATAGACCGCAGCCACCTTGGTGGTTGGGTAAACGTGCAGTAAAATGCCCAGCCGCTCAGAGCCCTGAGGCTGTTGCGAGGTAAAGAGGACGGCTGGTGGGTCGTGTCATATTGGAAAACTGACTCCAGGTGAGATTTCAACATCAACAGCCAAGACCCTGAAAAATGTCAGATTTGTGTCATGTAATTTTCTCTTTGTTTAAATGGATTTCATATAATTGAATACAATTTGAAAAAGTAAAGTTAAGGAGTCAGTATCAAAGTGATAGTAATACATTTTGTCTTTAAAGATACCCATCCTTGGCCTCTATATCTTATCTTTTTGGAAGTCATATTTTACTCTCACTATATACTGTAGCACATCTACAGAAATTACTTCCAAACTGTTTGCATCAAACTGACAAATACAGATAGAGGCTGAGAGAAGATCAATCTCACTGATCTATTTTAAGCTTCATCATCTGTCATCGGCAGTGGAGGTATCATCATAAAAGGTTAAGCAAATATTACCAGGAGTCCTCTGACTCTATAGTGGTTTTATTGATGCTGATTAGAGGTGTAGGAATATTAATGTTAAACCAGGGTTAAACATTAACAAATCTCAGCATTAGTATCTTAAAGCTGACGTATGGGGCGATGTAAGTTAACGTAGACACACATCAGTTTCAAAACAGTAAAATTCAACAATGTGCTCAGACGTTCAGAAATATACAACACAGTAACACACAAACAAACAAACAAAAAAAAAAAAAACAGGACGAAGGCAAAGACGATGAAACCTGTTCAAAAGTTAAAAGGCATTAGCAAACGTCTTCCCCACAGAGGAAATGTTACTGGAGCTGATTCCACGTGTGTGTTGATGACTGTAATACCTGCGGAGTAAAAGTGTTAGTGAGCTGGTCCTCTGTGTGTGCCAGAAGAGTAGGAACATTCAAGTTACAATATGGCTCGGGAGCATGTCGTCATGCTGCACTTCATATATGGAATAAATTCATTAGAAAGAAAACAGTTTTGTATATATTCTTGAGGTTTCACAAAGTTGCAAACTGCTTTAAAAAATCTGGCAGTTTAAATTAGCCTAACTTGAGGTAAACATTACATAACATTATATTCCTAACGCAGCGCAGCATGAAGCCAATTCCCAAGCCTTAAAAACAGTCCTGCACAGTTAGGGCTTAATTCCAACTGGAGGCGTCTGTGCCTGAAAATACCACACGGCATGCTTTATGTTACTCAGACTAAATGGTCCAAGTAGATAATTATTTTCAAAAAAGTTATTACGAGATCATCCGTCTTAATAAAAGGACACATTTTGTGGGACATGATTTGGATTTTAAAGCTATCTGGAAAAACAAATGAAGTTTTTAATTAGTAGTTAGAAAACCCTGGCTCCCAAATACTGATATTTGTTTGGATGACTTTCATTAATTCCAACAAATAACTTTAAGCAATTAACTTCACACATAAAATACATAAAGGTAAATTTAATTCCTTTGCACACTAAAACAGAGGTGTTTTTTTTAAAACCTGGGTTAAATTGAATTGATAGTTAAAACTTCATAATAATGTACTGATTCTAATATGCTTAATAGGGACACTGGTTCTGTTGCTAGGTGCTCAAAGGGAAGGCTAAAAAAAGAAAATTACCCTCAACATGCTGCATGATTTCACCTCCATATTTCTCCAGCTCACTTCAGTGTATTAAAGAAGCCAGTGAGCTTGAGGACAGAGGCTTTATGTGTTTGTGTCACTCATGTTAGGTTCAACATCTGTAAAAAGTCACTGGAAACACTCATCTATTGATTTACAACCTGTACTGTGCAACACTAAAGACAAGATAGATTAAATTTCAAAAGGAACGTATTATGCTTTTCCTTATTTTCTGTCATATACATATATATATGTTCGGATGTTCGTATTATATGTGGCTAAAATGTAAAAGAAAAACAAGGTAAATGTATGTTAAAGTAATCCCTGAGAGGAAAAGCATCAGGCTTCAGACCATTCTGAATACTCCAAGATGACATCAGCTCATGATGAATTTCTTTATATGGTCATCTGCTCCAGGCATGTTAGTGCACAACACATTCTCACTCCAAACTTGTCAAACTTTTGCTTGGTAAGTGGCCCTGTACATCAACCTATGACAGTCTCCTCCATCAGTTTTGGACCATCAGGTATGGCATATCAATGAATGCTTGTTACAGGCACAGTGTCTTTTCAAAATAAACTTCAGTTTTCACAGGAAATGTTCAGTTTCCACTTGTTAAATGCATTGAGTCTCTTAAAATTTAGAATGTAGATAAAAATCTTTGTTTATAGTTTACTGCTGTAGGTTTAGGCAACAAAAGTATGTGGTTAGGTTTTAAAAAACCCCATCATGGTTTGGTGTAAAATAAGTACATTTGTTACTTACATAATGTAATGTCAAGTGACATATGTGATATATATCACTAGCGCAGTAAGCCACGCAAACTGGCATACTATGTTATTAAATTAACCACAATGACTACCGTCTCCCAGGTCCATCAACTTCCACTCCCACCTGCCCATTTGTGGACACACTCATTCTTTATCCTGAAGCGGTTGCTCATAGTGTCAAAAAAGTGCCACTGCTTGGTGGATCTCATAGGGCTGCTTAAAGAGCCTCTATGCGTCGATATCTGATGCCGAGGACCATTGACCAAGCATCAGTATTTGACAAGTTGGGAGTGAGACTGTGTTGTATTTCAAGTGTTTACATGACAAATACTGCTAGGTGTTTAGCTAGGTGCAAACGTCGGGGAAACGTGGAATCTTGGTTGCCAGTGTTGTTCATTTCTGTCAGATTTCGAATCACATTCCTTCTGGAAGATGACTGTGAAGATTTTGGTTTTAGAAGCTTTTATTTGTGATTTCGTACGGTAGAAAGTGCTGCTTTACTCTGTTACAGTCATTCCCTCAACTGCAATGACTGCACAGATGCGGGAGATGCAAAAATACTGACCAATCAGAGCAGACTGCTCTTTTCCCGAAAGGGGGGCTTAAAGAGAAAGGTGTAAAACGGAGCGTTTCAGACCAATTGTGAATACAGGTGTTCCAGCACAGACAGTAATGTGCTGAAAATACAGTGTTCTTTGACCGTTAAAGCATTTAAACATGTGCTAGTGGAAACCACAAATCTAAGTATGAACCTGAAAATGAGCACAATAGGTTCCCTTTCAACTATTCTTTGGCTATTGATTGTGTTCAAGGATTTTCCACGGACCCTGCTGTAACAGAGGGAAGCATTCCCATCTGTTACTGTTTAAATAGCTGATGCACCAGGAAGTTCAAAGACTGGACCAATAAACCGACACAGCTACATAGCAATAACAGCAGGGCAACAGGGGAGCAGTGAGATTAAAAACCACATGATGCTGTCCACTCATCAGGTTTAAATCCATGATATGGTGATTATCATCTGGAGGAAATTAAATAGGGATTAGGGATATACAGTTCAGCATCAGCATCAGCATTTGACTATTGTATTCATTGGTTTTAAGTAATTAGCATTACTTAGCAGAAGATACCATTTCCTATGCTGCTCTACTCTACTGTACTCTGCTGTATTAGAATGTGAGAGAGGTGGACCTACCCTGGGTTTGAAGGCGATCAGTTTAAGGATCATCTCTACAGTGAAGAGTCCAGTGAAGAGCATGTTGAGGATGTTCATGGCATCATTGAAACCTTTGGTCTGTCCATGATGCTGCAAAGACACATAGACGACTCATTATTGTCCACACAGACAGGGGATCTTAAGGACGCTGTCTAAAGCCCCAACTGTCACATTTCTTAAAATTTATGACTGTGTAGTTGTATCTGCGTCTGAGTGTGTGAGACTCACCTGCATGGCCAGACAGATGGTGTTGAGAAGGATGAGTGTGAACATCAGGTACTCAAAGTAGGTGGAGTTGACCACATACCACACCTTGTACTGGTAAGGGTTCTTGGGGATGTAGCGACGCAACGGACGTGCCTTCAAAGCATACTCCACACACTGACGCTGTGACGCACACACACAAACATGTGAGCATGAACAAACATTTGCCTTTGACTTTTGTCTGGTGATGTAGTTCCCCAACTCCTCATCACTGTGTCTCTTTGTACTCAGACCATCATGGAGGAAAAGCTGTAGAATTGTCTTTTGGCAGTCTAAAAAAAGCCTTTTCCACCCCAGACTACTCTCCCATCCTCTCTGTGCATCACAGAAAATACAGCTGCAGGGACTTTCGCCTGGCTCCTTCTTTAAGCTTTAGTCCCATCTTCTGTCTGAACTGCTGCAGCTCCCTCCTGGCTGCTCTCCTCAAGTAGTTCAGCCACTAAAACTCATGTTCAGCCTCTCAAGATTCTCTCACCCCCACTGCCTGGCCTCCATTCCCTCTCCCTTGTGCCTCCCAAATGAAAAAAATGACTTTCCCACTTCACATCTTCCACTTTACATCTATCTTGCTGCTACACAAAAGCAATATAACTGTTACACACACATAAAGGCATAAAACAGCCACAGAGCGCACCTGGTTCTTGTCCAGCTCACAGTTCTTATATTCTTGCTCTCCTTGCTCCTGGAATGTGACGATGACGAAACCGACGAAGATGTTCATCATGAAGAAGGCAATGATGATGATGTAGATGATGAAGAAGATGGAGATGACCACGCGGTAGTTGTAGACGGGCCCGACGTCCTCAGCGTGAGAGTCTATGGCGCGGTACAGTAACCTGAGGGAGGGCAGGAGAGGAGGGATGATTCACTGAAGGAAAGGAGGGAGGAGGAGATTGTGGGACAGGCTTAAGCAGGCTTTTTAAGCAAATTCACTATCACAGACAAATTTCAAATGACGGAAAAAAAATCATGGGAGTTGGGGCTGTGCTCCAGTGATCTCAATGGTTTGGTGTAAGGTGGTTGAGCTGTATTAAGTCAGTCTTTTTCTTATCTTGATGCTCCAGTAAAATCAAACGTTTCCTACTGTCGTAATTTTTTAGTCGTGGCTCATGCAAATAGTTTAATGATATGAACACTGTCAACGACCAATAGCTGTGCTCTCTCCAGCAACAAACAAGAAGCAGCAAACCGCATAGACAGTCAACATGGAAGGGAGTTCCTGAAGTGCATGAATGTGACAAGTTTTTGTTCTCTTGTATTGTGGAAAAGGAGGAGGAACTGGCGGAGTCGTGGATTGAACAAGGGTCGATGTTTAATTGGCATATAGCTGATCCACGAACCAGCACTTATTTTAATGAGAAATCAGATTTTTTTTCAACAATTCGCCTCTTATTTCCACTATCTCCTCTCACTAAAATAGTGTGGCTAACCAATGGAGGCTGGTAGCAAGTTGAGGCTACAAAATCTAAAATGTAAAGTTTGTACGCAAATACAGTTTATCTTTAAGGATTCACCAGCTTGTCTGAAATCACATGACTATTATCTTGCGTGAAATTTCGATTGGAGGACAGGAAGTGATAAATCCATATACTGCGTGAATTGGATATAGATGAAAGTGACCACATATAGGGGTTGGGTGAGCCTGCAGGGAGTACGTACTGTCAGAAAATTGAAACTCGTGTTGGATGTGATCTGTACAAAACAAAGAAAAATGATTTTTCCCACAGCTTGACTAACTTGCCTGGTGTGAACATGATCGTCGTTACAAATTCCCTCATCCTCCAGATCTCCTTACGATACTAAGGTTACACCGTGAGCTGATGAACGTGTACAGGAGTCAAGGAGTAAATGTGTTAAAGTAAACCTGTCTTTATATTTTACTTCTGTACATGGATGCACCACTGTCAGGCTAACGTTAGCTAACTTTAGCTAACGTTAGCTAACTTTAGCTACTATTTTCTACCTGCTAATTCAACCATTCTAAGAGGTCAGATGAAACACTGGGTTGCGGCTAAAAAACACAGAGAAGTTGTCACAGCACATTGTACTTGCATCCAGCTCGAGGCATGTGTACACAGCGCTTTAATGTTAACATTTGACATTAGTTGACTCCACCCCTCCAGACTGAAGACCGAAGTTTTTGATTCACATCTGCAGCTATTTCTCAGTGAGTTTTGTTAAACGTTCTACTATTTTCAGAACTTAAAGTGGCCCTTATTTTTTACCAATGTGATCAGCCGTAAACAACACAAATCATAGGCAATCATAGGCATCTGTGCAGTGTTGATACACTTTGCCTCCAGCTGCCTACCCACCATCTGGACAGCGCACCGATGTATGACGTCAGATGCAAAGTAGCTACTGAAGAACAGTGTCGACATATGATGCCTTTTATCTTGTGTTCCCAGAGTTACTTGTTTTTGCAGACATGTAAGGAATTGTTAATACGTCATATTTCTTAAAGGGAGTTTGGCATAATATTTTCCACCAGAGGCAGGATGGGAAAAAATCTAAAAAGGAATCTAGATCCCCAGTCTTTGCAGTATCTTGTAATGTTTGACCAAAACCTCACATTGTCTTTAGAAGTGAGATGGTGTCAGACTTCAGTCTTAAAAAAGTCTTTCAAAGTCCTCTCGAGGTATAACCATAGATTACTCCAGTACAAAGGTTCAATTAGCAGAAATGATAAGGATACCAGCAAAACCTGAAAAAGCCAGCACACAATGTACATACAGCGTGCAAATCAATATACATGTGCATTGTGTTTGTATGTAGACACATACCCTGGCCAGCCCTCAAAGGTAGACACAGCGAACAGAGCCATCATGCCTTGCAGGACATCGTCAAAGTTAAAGTCACTGTTTTCCCAAACTCTCGGGGCTCTTGCAGGCTTCCCCACATCACCATCCTTGTACATGATGTAGGAACCCCTGTGAATACAAATACACACAAACATATTGACGCTTTATCTTGTAGTTGTGCTATAAGAGAGAGTTCAACAAGGAGGGATCGCTTACCTGCACTCTGCCTGAGTTTGTTTAGAGCTGTCGGTACAGAAGAAGAACTTGCCCTGATGGAAAAACAAAGACATTTAGTCAGACGCATCACGTCAATAGAAACCGAGGGGGCACGTGCCCCCTCAGATTTGAGGGATGATTTTTTTTTTTTCCAACCAATTTTATTTTACTTACTTTACCTTACTTATTATTTTACCATCTAGCTATGATCAGTGGTCATATTGAGTGAAATGTATTCTAAATAATCTCCTTCATCTCAGGCCCATTTAGTGGCCGTAACTTGCATAAAATGCATAAATGGTAATTTACGCATTATTTATTAGGATTTAGGGGAGATTTCCTGTTAGTAGTGATCACACACGGCAACAGAGCAACCATCTTGATAATAAACGATCTTTGGCCGATCATGTGACCGCTCACAGCTTTCCCATTGGATTTTAGCCACCCGGGTCTCCCATTGGACAGCCGATCTTACCGGCTTGACATCTAGGCTTCCAGGTAAGCTATAAACACACCGATGGGATCGATGTAAAGGCTGAAGTGTCCTGCTTTCATTAAAAAAAGAATTACGTCGCTCTTATTTTCCATTCCGGAAATAGATGCGAAAGAGTACGACTATACCCCCCGGCGATGACGGCGATCTAACCTAAGGGTTAACGTTAGCCTATAATGTCTGGACTGTAACGTTTGCCTGACTAATAGCCTAGGGAGTATCCATGGAAGTATCAGAAAAACTTGGGACGGGATTTATTTTGGTGTATCTGTGTTTCAACGTTAGGCCGCCTAACAAGATGGGTGAGTGTGTATGATTGTGTCCTTTTTTATTGCCTTGGCATGCCGTTGCCAATAACATTGGCTATCATTATCTACGTCACGTTGCGTTTTGCTGTCAGTAGTGGGAACCGGCCTGGGTTCACGTTTGTGTGTATTAACGTTAGTGTGTAGCCAAATATTTTATGCAATACAATAAGCTTAGCTATGTTTGCAATATTTTCCTAGCTGCTAGGGTTTGTTTGAGAAAAACTCCTTTCCTCCTTACACAAAATAGTTTACATGACAAGGTGTAGATGCGTGTGTGTATGTATGTGTGTGTGTGTGTGTCTGGACGGGGGGGTCGGCTTTGAGTTTGGGCCCTATCCAACCTCAAGGCGTTGTGCAGCAGGGGCCCAAAATAAGTGATTTGAGGGCATCACCCAAAAAAATTAGTGAGAGCACATAGAGCACGAACCCAATCCACTGTGCCCCCTCACATTTTGGGGTTGCATGACGCCCCTGCATTTAGTAATCAGTGATGAAAATAATTACAACATTATAACTGATGAGGCCACTCCTTCTTGGTTCCCTCCTTTTCCTCTTTACCTTAAAAAGTTGTACTCCAATACAGGCGAACATGAACTGGAGCAACGTGGTGACGATGACAATGTTGCCGATGGTCCTGATGGCCACAAACACGCACTGCACTACGTGCTGGAAAACACACCAAAAATGAAAGTGAATATAAGAGTGTGTCTTTTTTATTAAAAAGAGAGTATGTGTGTTTTATGTGTGTGTGAGCGTTCTAACCTTTAGTCCTTTGGCTCTGTTGATGGCCCTCAGTGGTCTGAGCACTCGCAGAACTCTCAGGATCTTCACCACATTGATTGCACTGGACCTGAAACACACATGAAATCAAACTACTAACCAGTCACAATGATTAAACTAAACTACTAACTATTAAGGCATACTGTGTTTCTAAGTTGGAGACAACACACAGTGTTTGAACAGCAGTTTGTTGACACAAACTGAAGCATGAGTTAAAGAAACTGTAGAGACAACACACAAGCTAAGGAAATTAAAATGATCTGGATACAAGAAAACTATGCAACTGAAGCTAAAACTGAAACTCAACAAGAAGTAAAAAGAAAATAATCCTGAGAACATTTAAACATATAACAACTGAAAAAAGCCATGATTTTCTTTCAAGATCTGTAAAATTTGGCTTAAAGGAACACTTCATCCCAGGTCATTTGTATCATATATCATTTACCACCACTTGTTGCGTTGAATTCATGAAGAAAACTTTTTCTCACATGCGCCCAACAAAGAAAATTCTTAATTCTGAACGAAACTAACTCTAAAAACACCCAAGTGACACAGTAACTAGTCTCTATACACAGACTCTACATTCAGTGAATGTAGAGTCTGTAGGCAAACCCCGGAGATCTTGCCTGCGGAAGAGCCCTGGTTTCCGGTGCTACGCTGTTTGTAGTCCACGTGATATTGATCAATCACGTTTGAGCCGGCTGCAGTTGTTGCCAGGTTAAACGCTCCGTGCGATGAACTAACGAGGCCAAACATAATTGACGTCACTGCAAACTCTGAATCCATCGCAATGGTTCAACATATTTACTTATATATAAACAGAAGTCGGAAACGGAAATTTGCCTCCTCCGCCCAAATCAAACCGGAATGCCAAAAAAATTGGCTCTGCCCTGAGAGGCTGTATCGCCATCTGCCAGAAGTCAGACGGCGAATACAGCCGATGGATTCTGAGAATGCACAGTAACAAGAACAGACTCACTGGTCGAGACAGGGTTGACCAGCAGCTTGTGTTTTTGTCAGTGGAGTCTGGCTTGAAGAGCATTAACAAGTTTCACTTCTAGTTTAGTTCCCTATCGGAGAGAGCTACCTGTTTGGGAAGTACTGAGGATACAACTGGCAAAAGAAGACTTGGATTATACTGCACGAGTTGTGTGAGAGTTTGTGAACAGATGTTTTGATCTAGGTTTGCTGTCGATAAAAGCGGACCCCTTCTACTCCAATTCATCGAGAACGAAAAAAGTGAAAAATGTACGGTTTCCTTACGAATTCAGCGTAACATGGGGAAAGTAATTGATGTACAAATGGTCATTTGAGAAGGGAAGTCTTCCTTTAAAGTAGGCAAAGACAAGAAAATATGTTTACATAAAATGCCACCTTTACAGAATGTTTGCTGAAAAACTACCCTTACCACTATGCTAAATAATATCTCAGATTTTTAACAGAGGATTGGACTACGTGCATATTATTTTTATTTAGCTAAAAGGTTGCAACAAAATAAAATTAATTAATTAACTTATACTGATTATCCATCACAAGAAGGTTTTGGAGAGTGTCAGGGACTACAACTCATATATACTGTCATTACTGATCAGTTTTTATAAACAGGGAGTGAACAGCATGGTTTCCCTTTTTAATATCAACTGTCTACAACAATAAGAATAATACAGTAAAAGTGTTTATGGAACACAACACACGTAAGTACATGTGATACACGGATGAACACGCACAAGTACAACACAGACAGACCAACACAAAGACACAGACAGACATTTACAGGCAAACAGAGGGTTATTGTGCTGTAAGAGAGTGTCAGGTCAAGCCAAAGGTCAGACACTGTGACCTTTTAAAGGAAAAGGAAAAAGTTCTAATATACTAACCAAAAGGATCAAATGAATACCTTGACATTTCCAATTTTACAATAAATGTTGGGAAAAAGCTTTAACATTGGTCCTTCTGTAATCTGAACCTGGCCTCCCAAGTGTAATTATTACTATTGGATGTCAAACATGCTAATAATGTAGCTTGCCAACATTTTTTCACTTTAATTTCAGTGTAAAAAGCTAATAAGCCAGCTATTCAGTTAACTGAAGAATGGATACTAAAACTTTTTCCCATAGTGTCACAAAGGTAGAGGGTAAAAGTACTTTTCAAAATGTCAATGTATCCTTTGAAGGGAGTGAATTTTTGGATGGTTAAAGGAGTGATTTAAGGGAGTGACATTACTCTTTGCCGACTCTTCAACAGAAAGTAAAGAAAAGACCCGTTGTGCAACATTTTACACAGGAAGGTAAAGTTTAAAGGTAGTTAAAGGTAGTTCACGTGCAGTGGGATTTCATCGGCAACATATCACAGTCAAACCAGCTGTGATGGTAACTTCTAGTAATCCATACAAACGGCAACTGAATTTTAAACAGAACTTTTTAATCGTAGCAAAAACAAACACAACTGTGCTTTTGTTGGGGGGGAAAGATTAACCTGGTAAATGCTATTTTGTAGATCACCTGATTCTAACTAGCTGTTAGATTGTATCATATCGGCCATATTGCGATAGTTCTTTCATGTGAAGTAATCTGTGGTGGAAGAAGTATCCAGAGCCTTTACTTCAAGGGAGATGCTGGTATTTTTCAACCTGAACCATGAATCGTGGGAACTGTTTCTGAAACAGGTTAAGTGTTGAGCAAGAGTGCTGTAGCCAGCAGCGGTGAAACAGGCTATAATGTAACCATGTGTCGCAGGTGTGCACCTTCAATTTATGTTAATTTAATGTACTTGCTTTGCCACAAATAGGCTCAGCTTCTTATTATGAGCATCTTACAACATTACTGAAATGATCCTACAGAGAAATTGAACATTATTCTGTACCTTTAATTTTTTCCGGTCTGTTATATGTCAAGTCCTGCTGACAAGAAGTCGCATTCTGAAATCTTACGAGGCGAATTGTTTCAGTGAGAAAACGAGTGGAGGAGTCCTAGAAGATTTTCAATTTCATGGTTGAATATTTAGCTGATTTCAACAATGTAAAAAAAATCTCAAAATGTGACTTCTCGTTAGCGAAACTTGGACACAAAACATACTGTAACAAGCAAATTTACTGACAAACATTACATTTGCCTGTGTCTGTAAGTCTGCTAGTGGCAAAAACAAACACTTTTAATGGACGTAACATGACAGGGCAAACCCAAGTGGTCACACTACAGTCTGTTTTGCCGCTGCTTGCTGCAGTGCTTTCTCAATACTGGACCAGTTTCAACAGTTGTCGTCTCCATCTGTCACTTAGTCACAAAAACATGTGAAAATAGGGTCCATGTTGAAAAAGTTCCCCCTTAAGTAAAAGTACTAATAGCCTACTGTGAAAATACTTCCCTACAAGTAAAGTCCTGCATTCAAAATCTTACCTAAGTAAAAGTATGGAAGTTTTATCAGCAAAATGTACTGATAATAAAAGTGCTCACTGTGCAGTGAAATGTTCCCTGTCAGTGTTTTACTATTATATATGATGTTTTTGGATTAATATTACTGCTACATATATGTGTATGTTTCATTTTACTACTGTAGATATTTATGCTAATTTTAACTCCTTTATATACTGTTTGGTTGTTTAATCTACGACAGTGCATCATATTCTATGAGAACATCCTATGCTTGTAGTATCACTGTCCTGTGAGAAACACATCTCTCTAAAAAATCAACTTTTCAAAGTGTGAGTGAAGCACCCCTGTTTTTAGCTTTGTGAGATGCATTTTCCAACAGGGTTTTTATAGACTTTATTTAGCCTAAAGCATAGGAGAATTTTCAACTCATAAAGGAACATTTCATCCTTCAGTTTATCACTAACACACAAAAACAACACATCTGGAGAGATGTGGTTTTCACGGGACAGGAAGGGGATGAAAAACTCGAACCTGGAACATGTGTTAAGTTCTCAGGCAAATGTAGTGCGGTCAAAACTACAATATTTACCTCTGAGATGCAGTGGAGTAGAAGGAAATAGTCGAGTAAAGTAACAATACCACAAAATAGTACAGTACTTAAGCAAATTACACTTAGTTAATTCCACCACTGGAAGTAAAATTAGCCACGTTAATGCTGTCTGCACACAATTTTAGGAGACTAAATCTGATATCTTCTGGTTTTCAATTCCATACTGACTTTATAAACCTCTCTAAAACTTTTGCCATTTCCATTCTGCTTTTCTACAGCTTTACTTCAATATGCAAAGATACTTAAATGGAAACATGGCAGGAGATATGTATATTTACAGCATACCCTCAGAGACATACTTCAATATTACGTAGTAATAATAGCAAACCAGTAGAGAAGGAAATGTACAGCAAATAATAAGACTGTAGTAAAAAGCATTTTATAAATATGACTAAATGCAGCACCGTCACAAATAATTTGGCTGTGATATATTCAAGAAAAAATCCCACACACTCACTACTTTTAACGGGCAAAAACCACCGAGGTTTAGCTTTGAGGTGTCATTTCTAGAGCCCAGGAGAGTTCAGCTGATCCACAAATATGAGAACTGAGTTTGGGCTGCCCCCAAATATATGTCAAGGAATAGATAAACAAATATATTAACAATTGCTGGATGTGACAGGTGACTTAAGTATTACAGGACCCAGGGGTCCCCCTTGTAAAAAAAAAAAACAATCTATGGTTCAGAAGAAATTACGCTGATGCCTGTAAAGAGGCATTTTGGTATGCATGAAATTTCAAAGCATATTATGAGTTCATAATAGCAAATGACCCATTTATCATCAATACAGTTTTTTTTCTTTGTCGGCAGCTTCAACTAAAACTCTCCAAGACCGTAGAAATACCAAATTAAAAGAGTGACAGTTTTACACAGTTAAGGTGAAGGTCTGCTAAGGGGGTTACTAATGCGGACTAATATGGACTTACGTCGAGAAGTCTAGTCTATTAAGCATTAGAGACAGAGAGTGTAGCATAGCATATTAAACATCAGAAATATCACAGCATTTCAAGGAGTTATTTGCTACAAGAAGCAGAGAACATATTTAATATACAACACAAAGACAGAAAAGGATTGGGAGTAATGAAGTGTAAAGTTGTTAGCGAACAGAGAGAAGTGTGAAGCATGGAGCAATCTACAAACAAAAGAAACGTTTTTCCCATTTAGCCTCTTTACGGCTTGATTTGTGTATTCCTGACTGGACAAGCCTCATGCACGTGTCATTATCTGGCTGACTAATCCAGGCTTTTTAACATGTAATGACACAAATGTATGTTTGATGATGTTGCTTGGAATTACTGCCAAATCGGTAGTATCAGTGCACAAAATTCTGATTAAAATGCTTAAGCAGTGAATGATTAAAATGAGACAACAGTATAAAACATGCATCAGGAAACATTATAGTTCACTCACTGTATTCCAGAGGAGATGAGGGACACACTGACCACCACCAGGTCCAGAATATTGAAATAGTTTCTACAGAATGAACCTTTATGGAGGAAGGCCCCATAGGCTGTCATCTGTAGGGGTCAAAGATCATATTTGAGAGTCAACTAAAGAAGGATCAAATCACAGCTTAGCAGTGTTCAGGGGTAGCACGCGTGATGAGGCATGCATAGGGCAGTCATACTGACCGCCTTACCTTTAAATAAAATAACAAAATAGTTGCAATGCTGTCTCGTATTTAGAGCCTTTTCATAATGAGCGTTCAGTGTTTCCCACAGAATTTGAATATATCCGTGATGGTAGAGGGGGTGAGTGAGACGGGGGCAGCATTGGCACTGATCAGCTTTTGCTGCTGTTTGATGCAGCACTGAGGGACCATCACTGTAAGCTGCTCTCCTCCTGCTCTCTCGTCCGGTTAGCACGAGTTAACTCAGCAGCAGTGGCTAACATCTGACAGCGAGCCGTTAAACTGTCTCACACCGACAATGACACTAAGGGTTAGCCATGTGATGCTAACAGTTAGCCCTGTCACTGTGTGTGTGTGTGTGTGTGTATTTGTGACTTTGTCCCAGGCACAGAGCTCGCTCTCCCGCAGCAGTAGTGTCATGATAAACAGAGAGAGCGTGAAAGCAGGGCAAGGAGGGGCAGTGTGAATCAATTTACTGAGCCCAGCTCCACAGTGAAATGACATTCACCCAATTTTAAATCAAATTTGCAGTCAGGTTGCTGTGACTGCACAAAATAGCAAGGTTGTGCAGAACTCATGGGACTGGTGGAATTTGTGTTAATTGCTGTGCATCACAACATTGCAACGTCCTGTAGGGACTGCTTAAAGAGTTAATCCTGTATACTGCAGCAAAGCATCCCCAAGCACATCAACCAGGATGTAACAAACACAAACCAAGACATTTTCGGATCAAACGGTTCTGTGGACTCCCTGAGAGGAACTGCCCACTTAGGAGCCCCCCCCCCGAGGACTATATACTTTCAAAGGCTTTTTCTTTCTTTGCATTTTCAGTAGGAATGCTGAAGTGATGCAAGCCGGCCAGCAGTTGGAACAGGCAATGTCATGCTGTCAAAGATCTGAATGTTTCGCTTTGACAAGTCAAAATGTCAAATTTCCCCCCGTCACATATACACTGAGTAAGCATGGACCACACTGCTGTTGTTTGTGCTGTCTTTTATCTGTTGTTTACACAGCTAGTGGTACTGCATTAGCTTGTGTGTTCAACTAGCCAATGTATGCATAAGTCCCTCAAGGTTCTTCTTGTGCTGTGAGAGTACCTACTCTTAAATAGAAGTAATAAAGACCCTCAAAACGGGGTTCTAAAAACTATGATCATTCCTAGTTGTTGCAGTGTGGACACAATAAAAAGAGGAGTTCTTAGAACTGTGAAAAAGTTCCTTTGGTCTGAAAGCACCTATTCGTTTGTCAGTAGAACAGCCAAATACCAGCATTGGTCTCTATTGCTGTCCTACATGTTATTGTATGTGGTTTTAAAAGACTGGAACTGAATACTGTAGCACTTACAGATTAGTTCTGCTTTGTGTTCAGAGGCCTTCAGACTTTTTAATACAGTTTGGCTGTATATCTTTTTAGTTTGTTTCATAGGTAATCTGTCTCTGTTTTCACATACTATTATTTGTTTCCTAGCTTTTGGGTTTTTCTGTGTTGCATTTATTCAGTTAGTCGTGTTTCTTGTTTTATTCTGCAACACTCCCACTTCTGTGTCATGTCTGATTTTACGTCCTGCCTTTGTGTGTTTTCCCCACCAGTGTGATTGTCTGCCCCGCCCTGATGTGTTTCACCTGCTCCTCATCAGCCCTGCTGTCTCCAGTCCCTCGTTATCACCTTCCTCCCTGGTGTATCTAGTGTGTGTGCTCCCCTTTTGTCTGTGCCAGTTTGACTTCTCTGTTGCAAAAGCATTCAAGCTGCAAGTCCTCGTGTTTCCACAGTGTTTATCCGACCACTCTTCGGTTTCTTTACACAGATTTTTTCTTTGCATTTATGAATACTTCTGCCTGCTTTTTAGACTGCTTACCTGTGTACTGAACTCTGCCTCTGAGTAAAGACATTTTATTTTCAAACTCTGAGTTTGAGTTTTTCAGCTGGAACCACTGTTCCTGACATTATATGGCCCATAACATAGCATACTACCTTAAGAATGATCTCTATGGTGAAGAGTCCAGTAAAGACATGGTCTGCATAGCCCAGGATCTGAAAAGGAACAACAAAGAGAATCACTGATTTCATCTTAATAATACTGCCATTCGGATGTACACTACACAATAGCATTCCTGGAACTGAAAACAATAATCTATGGCTTTCTGATTGAGTGTGAAACAGGGGCAATAGTTGTATTTGCCATTACAGTAAACTATGACAAATTGTGACTGAACCAAGGCTGTACAACAAGTAGGAGGCTAAATGAATTCAGTAATCTTCAAAACCAAACTCAATGAAAACCGGCTTGGCATTCTTGTCACTTTTTAGGGTCCAACAGTAAACATAACTCTTTATAGGCCGGCTTCCAAAGATTGTTTCACTGTTAAATTAAGGAGAGAAACAGGAGGAAGTGCAATTCCTCAGGGGTTAAGGCTGAACTTATGGTCAACTGTAGCATACCAACGTCCTGAATGACTTCACAACATACTGAAATAATAATGCTGAGGTTCAGGTCTAAGGATAATGAATTCCGATTGGACTAAAATAGACTTTGAAAAGAGAGCGGAATCTGGAAAACAGGATGTATTATTTCATTAGGGCTTCAGACAAAGGTTAATTGAGGTAGGCTAATATACAGCAGCCTATACCATAGCTCAGGAGAATACAATAATACAGATCTTTATTAGCCCCCAGGGGATTTGTCTTGCTCACTGAGAAAATAAACAATGTACAAAAATAGATACAGCACACACAGAGCTCAGTCTTTACATTAGACTATAGCTCACAAATTACACCCACAAACACTGAACATTATCGTATAAACAACATGATGATGCTCTAATCATGTATACAACAACAGCACAGATACATTCTCCATTTACACAATTAGTGTGTTCTGGGGTTTTAGAGTTTGGCTGAAAGGGATAGTTTGGATTTTTTGAAGTGGGGTTGTATGAGGTACTTATCAAAGGTCAGTGTCTTATATATAGTACATGGTGGTCAGCACGTCCCCAGTTTGGAGAAGAAGGCACAAGCACTGCTAAGCAATGTACTGCTGTTGACAGGGGCAGCGGCAAAATGGTTTAGTCACCAAAAAAAAAAAAAATCAATATTAATTTAGGTGTACCATATAACTTAAGGGGCCAGTGTGTATAATGGGTTGAAAACCATTGGAAACAGTGACATCAGTGGTCAAATTCTAGATTGCAGGGCTCACTCGCTCACCCCTCCCATCGGGTAAATGACGGTGGCCTCGTAGGGACAAAAAGCCTTGCGCACGAGTTTTTCAGGAGTAGGTCTTTCTAGCGACGAAGTGAATGTTTATTTAGAAATCTAAACCATGTTACGATATTGTAATGAATCCCTCACGAGCAGGAGACCAGAGGAGCGTTTGGAAAAAAGGCCAGTTTATTTGAGCACTCCAGAAACTCCGGTAACACACCACTCCGTCCCAAACTCTGACTCTTCTGGCGTAACAGACACACTTCTAACTTTACACACATACTCGTTTACGATACTAAGTGGGGACCCCCCTCCCCTCTCTGCTCCGCCAATCTCCAGCCCGCACACTGACTGACAGCGTAGCCGGTAAACAGTGCTCAGCTGTTTATTTAGCCTAGCAATATCTCCGGACTATAGTAGCTGTAATGGACGACTTTGAACGCGATTTTGAGGAGTTTCTTGTAGCGGACACAGACCCAGAGCCATACCTGTTTGACCCGGAGCATACAGATGAGGAACTCCATGTGTCTGATGCTGAGCGGGTGAGAAGAGAGGCTGAATGCACAGAATGGGATTAGGTGCTACTGCTGCCATTGTTGGGGAGATATATCATCAGGAGGAAAAGCGCCGCAGAGAGTGCATCACAAGGAGTGAAGTTGCGTCTTCTTTTCCTCGCAGATGACAGTTTGGGTTCATTCTCTCCTGTTGCGTGGTAAGTGTGGTCCATTCACAAACTTTATAACTAAAAAAACTTTTCACTACTCTCTATCGACGAACTACTAACACTCTCTGCTGTTTCTTCCTCCTTCTTCTTTCCTTCCGCTGTCTTCGTTGGTTCATTTATACACACGAAACGCATTCTCTGGCTGGCTGGATTGTCCACTCGGTCTGCCGTACATACATGGCGGCGCAAGATGGCGATCTCTCTAAAGCAAGGCCCTTGCTATATATATATATATAAAAGCATAATTATAAGGCTACGAAAACCAAACAAATTTTATTTTATAGCGATTATACACTTATATAAACATATTAATGGGTAGAATATTCAGATTCAGATTCAGATTGACAATAAACCATGCCAAATATTACACACTGGCCCTTTAAGTATTTTCACCGCTTTACCTTGCCACCAGACAAGGTAAAGAGCGGACCCACTGTTCGGCTTATGCCCTTAAACTGATACTGATGTTTTAAAGTGGTTTTCTAGGTGGCTTAAATACATTTTGATGCTGCCCCCCATCCACAGCAGTACACTCCTGCCTGCTTCTCCAAACTGGGGACATGCCAACTGACATCCACTGACTATGGATAAGCACCTCATACAACTCCACTTCAAAGAATTCGAGCTATCCCTTTAAGGCTGAATATATAGTCTCTGTTGTTGGCTTGCAAATTGTCTCTTATTAATACACTTTCTTGGTTAAATGCAGCTTAGCAAAATATCTTAAGGATATAAATTTTAATAATATTTCTATGCTGTATGTACAGTACAAATAATGTCAAGTTGCAAGCCTGGTAAGAAAAAAAAAAGGTCAAAAGACAAAACAAAGCTTAACAAGCGTTTCACATCTTCTTACTATTACGTTAATCACAGTTACAGTACTACAGAAGAGATCTCATTAAGTGTATCAGGCCGGTCACAATAAGCTTTGGTTCCTTTATATGTTGCTGTCGGCTATAATCCATTTAGTACAGAATGAATGCGTGTGGGCAACTAATGATGAATACAATCTTTGCTAATGTCTGTGCCTTAATGTACATTTACATGTTTTTTTTTTTTTTTTTTTTTAATTGTGTGTGTTACCTGGTTTCTGAAGGAGTCGTTCTTGACTGGGTCCTCTGCTGCCAGACTGATGCTGCTGAGCAGGATGAAGAAGAGGATGAGGTTTGTGAAGATGTTGTGGTTGACGATCTTATGGCACAGAACCCTGAATCTAAGAAGAGCAAAGTGGGAGAAATGTATTTTAGTCTCTTGTTACAAAAACAATAAGACATTTTGAGGGATAATAACATATTGAGATGGGAATAAAGAGGATGGAAAAATACTGCGAGAAACAGACTGAGGTTGCAGGAAACAGAAGAGAGGAGGGAGGAAAGGGAAAGTGAGCAGAACCACAGTGCTCTCTTACTGGTTGGTGTGGCTGAAGACAAAGAACGCACGGGCCTCGGGCATGGGAATAGCTTTCTCCTTCAGCTGAATGTCGGAGAGAGGCCGTGGCCTTGGGCCCACTGGCATCTCTGGCTCTTCATCATCATCGTCTCCTGAGAAGAGGGAAGAAACCAAAAATTGTGAGAAAATGGTGAGGAGAAAAACAGAAAGAATAAGACTTTTAGGACTAATAGTTTTAAAATTAAATCTAAGACATTTTAAGATTTTTAAGGACCTGCAGACAACTTGTAGTGACTTAACAGACATTTATTTAAATGTCTGTTTATTATCAGTATAGGTGCCTTAGTAGAAGGTCATATAAAGGAACAATTCACCCTGATGACATTGAAATTAAATAATAAACTAATACAAGTTTTAATGTGGCTACAGATTGTGTATTTACATGTTAGTAATACTCAACAAAGCTACAGCGTATCCAGCTACATTGTTACTGAGTTGCCATTAAAGTGTTGCTCAAGCATATGTTGATGTCTGAAAACACCTCCAAAGGATGTGAAAATAGCCTTAAATATCAAAATGACAAGGCCAGAATAAGTTATTCTTCTATTTTTTGACTGAATGCAACAGGAGTTGTGCAAAAGAGAGGGGAATTGGAATTGGTGAAACAAAAACACAAAACAAAAAACACAAAAAGTTAAGGCCAGCTCAACTTTGATTTGTATCATGTCATGACAGTCTACAGTGACATGTGTCGGTGTCAATTTGTTGCTTCCTGTCACTGGCTTCCATTGAAAATGACTTGAAGCCTGTTGCTTTGTCACAGATTCTGTAGTATAGCAGACGACAACTACTTTATCAGAATTCAGTTTTTTTGTACAGAAAGGTCATGTAATGGGAATATCACATAGAACTGAATAGTTGCTGGCAAGGCACAAGTTCATTCATCAAACAATTTCTCTGTAAACACATCACACACCTCTGGTTTGTGCGTTACCTATGTAATCATTGGCAGGGTATGGGTTCTTCTCTTCACTCTCATCTCCACAGTAGTCATCCATGTTTATCTGCAGAGGGAGAGCATTGCATTTATTTACCAATTCATTAATTTCTCTGACACTTGCTTGCACTTGGGGAAGATTGTGGCTACTGTAGTCTTCATTGAAACGTGTGTTTTTGTGTACCTTAGCAGCAGTGTTGGTCTCTCCGTCAGAAGTGATGGACTTCAGCTCTATCTTCTCCTTCTTCTCCTCCTCCAGAGGCGGCTTCTCGTTGTCATGACGCTTCTCCGGACTGGCCAACCTGGACAATAGGCAGGAAAAAAAAAAAAGATCCTCACCTTTAGCATTTTCCCCCCTCTCCTCCACCGTGTTAGCTGCATGTTAATCCACTGATGTGTATCGAATCACATTTAATTTAACACCAGAGGGACAAAATAAACCTCCAGATTTTCAATGATGGGGAGTATTTCAATCACAGAGGGTGGCTGGGCTGTTATAATCAAACCAAAAGGATAGTGAGCAGGCAAATGGTTGTTTTCCATCACACTTTTCCTCTGATCAATACCAGCTGCAACCAAAAAGGAGACATTTAATGATTTGTGCCACCGAGGGGGATGCTATCTTCCTCAGCTTCACTAAAATCTCACATTACCATTGCTGATAAATTACCTTTGTAGGCAATGAGACACTAAAATTACCCAATAAAATTGATTCAGACAGAAAATCAAAGCAGGCAAATGTCAGCCTGTCTTAATAATAGGTTTACTTTCTAATTGTTAAGCATTTTTAGTACATTGATTTATTTTTCCTCTCTTTTTTTCTCAGCTAACAATCTACCTGTTTTTCTTTTTTTTCTCTGCTTTACCTGGCCAGTTTTTTCCTCTCTTTCTCCTCCTCCTCTTCTTTCTGGGCGGATGTCAAGCTCTCAGCGTCTGCCAGATTGTCGACAGCAATGGCCAAGAAGACATTCAGTAGGATATCTGTTCAGAGGGGGTTGAAGCTAAGGATGTTGCTGACCCATCAGATCATCAATGTGGCTGTACGCAAACAATCCTGGAAGGCTGAGTAAATAATTAGCTACCTTTCTGCATCTGAAAGACACTGAACTCCCGACTGCTTGAGTAGAGATACTCAGTGACCTCCAGCAAACTGTTTTAGCTACGTGAATGTATCCCCATGCAAAACACACCCTTCCCTCCTGTTACTGCATCCTAAATAGGGGTTAGATTTTATTCAAATCACAGTCAGTCACACTGTTTTCTGGTTGATAGGATGCAATTTAACAGAATCAGAGAACAAGTTTGGCTGTCAGTCTTTACTCTGGACGTGTTGATTTTTCAGTGCTTGTCATCATTCATCGCCCCTCTACCTCTCTTCAGATCCATACTTTATTGAGCGACTTCCAGGTTCCCCACACATTTTTATCAATGAATTTTCATAACATTTCCATAATATTTTACCCCGTTTCCATTAGCATTAGCGCATGCTAGCATTTTGGCATTTTTCTGTTTCTCTCCTCTCTGTTTTTTGCCCCAAAAGGGTGTGCAGACTGTGCTATGACGCAACGCTGGTCTGTGTATCATGTGATACTGGTGAAGTTTCAAGGGTCACACAGCGCAGCAGTAGATTTTAACGTTCCCAGGTATTTCATGACCGTGGAAACCCTGTACTTTATATAGAGCTCTGTTGAGGAAGGATACAGTTTCCGCAGATGAAAAGGATGATGAAGTAGATGCAGACAAGCATGCCGGGAAAGGATGGTCCACCGTACGCCATGATACCATCATACATCACAGAGTTCCAGTCCTCTCCTGTTAGGATCTGCAGCGAAAGAAAAACATGTCATAAAAGTCCCATTTGCATTAACGAAAGCTTATAAAAGTAAGACTTCTATTGGAAAGAAGCGCCACTCTTGTGACAGTGATATATTACATTTAATTTCACTGTAAGACTCACACTAGATTAAATGACTTTATGTGCTGTACAAATGGAGAAGACAAGGATTCTTATTTTATGGACACAAGCTGAGAATAGAAGACAAGCAGAGTTAGAAGAGAGAACACAAGAGGAACACAAAGTCTTTACCTGAAACACGGTGAGCAGAGACTGGGGGAAGTTGTCAAAGGTGCTGCGTCGGGTCTCGTCGAAGTTGAATTTCCCTCCGAAGAGCTGCATGCCGAGCAGGGAGAAGATGATGATGAAGAGGAAGAGCAGCAGCAACAGGGAAGCGATGGAGCGAACAGAGTTGAGCAGGGAGGCCACCAGGTTGGACAGGGAGTTCCAGTATCTGCGGGAGAGACGTCCAGTTGTACATAAATGAAAATGTATCTCCCACAAACACGCTATACTTGAATATGTTCGCCATTTTATTTGTTTCCTTTCTATTGGAAGCATCAATATCGATATTAAAAATGTCAATACCAACCTGGTTATTTTGAAGATTCGCAGCAAACGTACACAACGTAACACAGAGATGCCGAGAGGAGACATGATTTTGGTTTCCACCAGAATGGTCTCAAGGATTCCTCCACATACAACAAAGCTGTCGAAGCGATTGAAGAGCGAGACAAAGTACGCCTGTGGAGAGTCAAGAGAGAAGCAAAAAAAAGGTAGCAAGTAGCTGAGATAGGAGTTTAAATTTCTCTTGACAATTTTAGGATTAAAAACAAAACTGACCCATACAACTTAGTTTGAAAAAAAAAACTTTTAGCCACCTACCTGCAAACCCAGACTGTACATCTTCAACAACATTTCACCAGTGAAGAGTGCTAGCAACACCTTGTTGGCTATGTCTGAAGAGGACGAAAGAAAGGAGGGAGAAGTAAATAATGGTGGAATAAAAACAGATGGCAAAAGAAAAGGAACAGGAAGGATGCTAGCCCCTTTCACACATGCACTGCAAACCTGAAGTTATCTAGATATTACCCGCAGGAGCTGTAGGTGGGAATGCGAATGTTTGAATCAGTTCAAACGGACATTAAACTGACTGTACCCTGCCAGCTCCCTGATATAAAGCCCAACTGAGCTGTATAGAGCAGGTATTTGTCCAGAGAATTCACAGTGGCCAAGTGGGTGTGTTGATGACGTATCTATAATGCAGCTCACATGAAACCGAGAGAAAACTAACGTCCAAGGGTGAAGAGGAAGGGTCATTTACAAGAAGATGGTAACAAAAATGACTAACTGGAGAGAGATGACAAGATTCCTAAACTTCATTCAGTAAGGGTCGAAGCCGAAATTGTCAGACAAATTCAAGGGACAGAAAGAGACTCTGTTGTTCATGATGAAATTACAAACTGGCTACGTGACTGCGGTGTAGTCTGCGCCACGTCCTGCCTCCTGCATGCTCTACCCTGATGCCACTCCACACGTAAACCAAACAGAGTACTACTTCCAGTAAGTGAACACTTCTGACATGGACAATCTCCATTGTCAAAGGTGAATAATTTAGATCAGAATGAATAGAGGTGTGTCGTCAGCATTTGTGTGTATAGGTGTGCTTGCGTACCTTGTACATCAGTTAACCACTGAGGCTGCTTGTGATGTTCAGAGGCGATGGTCAGGGTGTTGAGGAAAACCAGGAAGATGACCAGCCAATAGAAAACCTGCGATTTGACCGCCGCCCGGCACTTCCTCCTACACAGCCTGTTCCACCTCCGAGAGTATCGACTGAGAAAGCAGAAGCAGAGATTGAGAAAGAAAGAGAAAGCAATGGGGAGGTGAGAAAAGATGGTCGAGGGAAGAGGTAGGTAAAAGAAGGGATGTGGGATTTAAAGTGGAGAGGCAGACAGAGGACGAGTGAGAGAAGAAATAAGAGAAAACAATGAATGATCAAAAGAAACAAGTGAAGAAGAGAGTGAGAAACAAACAGCGGAGGAGAAAGAAGAAAAAGAAAGAGTCAATTAGTCTGTCTACAGAGTAGTGATGACATCACCCCTTGGCTGGTGGTTGTCTGTTGTTTGAGAGCAGAGCTGTGGAACAGTTAGTCATCCTCAAAGACGCTTCACACCAAGAAAAAGCCAGTATGAAGAGCTTTGTTGCAGAATGAGATATGCACCATTTGAGGAGAAAAAAAGGGAACGCTTATTCTAACGAAATGATTGAAGGCACAAATTTAAACTGACATGTGTTATATTGTGATTCACACTACAAGGGAAATTTGTGATCAAAAGAAGAAGTGGTTCATTTTAGTATATTTTTCTTTCTTCTTTTTAGACAATTCAACATGTTGTTCAATGATGTTACGTACACAATGTCGTATGCACTTCTCCTACACTCTATTGTTAAAAAAATAAAAGTTATTGTTTTTGATAATTGCTTCACACCTCGCAGTCACATCTAGGTGAACCAGTCCACTCAAAGGGTCATACCATTTTTTCACCTACACCCGCGTACCAATGACTGAACCACTGAAATGTCATAATTGTCTTTTTGAAATACATTTTTTGTTCTAATCATTATGAAGCAGAGAAGCACGCATCTCCCTTTAGACTTTTACATGTTTTAAAGGGGACTGTCCATTGTTGTGATGACACAAAATTTCACGCTTTAGTCCAAAAAATGTCCCTTTGGAATGAAAACCCACTTTTCCAACAGCCCGTTATCCCAAAAACAAACAGTTATTGCTCCAATGTCCTGTTTCTCAGAAAATACACACTCTCTGCAGTAACACACCCCAATCGCCAGAAAAAATGGTTGTGCTGTAAACCACGAGGAAGTCACAACCCAGTGGTGAATGTGTGGTTAGGGTTAGGCACAAAAACCACTTGGTTATGGTTAGGAAAAATCCTGTTTTGGCTTACAACATCCACAAAAGAAGTCAGTGAAAAACACTCAGGCTCGGAGGCTTAAATGCAACTGGGAAACGCCACGAAGGGTAGGTAAAAACACCCGTGATCAGTGACTCAAATGCTGCTGGGAAACTGAAACTAACTGCAGGGAGTGTGTATTTTCAGAAAAATGGGACTTCGGAGCAATCTGCGCTTGCTTTTGGGATACCAACCAGTTGGACAAATGGGCTTTCAGTCTAATGGGACATTTTTTGGACTGATGGGGCTTCAGAGTTTTGGGCCATCAGAACAATGGCATGGCACTGTTATATATGCATCCCCATGGGCACTTCAAGGGATGAATCCAATCTGGCAATACAATTGTGGAACTGTTTTAACATATACAAAAATGGAGGCATCTTAGTCACTATTGCAGTATTTGTACAGTGGTAAAAGCTATGTCATTTTAATATAAACTTTTACAGAGGGAAATTAGTCTAAACCATCGGAGAAGAGCTGACATGCACGTCACACAGACAGATGTGACAGGCACCACACGGATAACGCGAATAAAATAAAATTAATCTTATGTATATTTTATGTTTCTTTTTCCTGACGACAGACAGTTGACTACATGTTTGCTAACAAAAATAATGAATCTAAATGTTGAGTTGAACTGTTCAGTGACTCTGAATGTAATGTACTGAAGGCCATGCCCATCCCTAAATCCCCTGTCCAGAATTTAACCCATTCTCATCTGTTTATCCAGTTTGTACATGACCCCATTCTCCACTGTTACCCCACCATACGAGACATGGCTGCAAAGAGATTTGTCATGTAACTGTAACTGAAAGACCTCTTTTCAAACAGATCAACGCAGCTCACCAGGAACTGTTATTCTTCCCTGCCTATACAAAATTCATGTTTCGCCTTCTTCGCCGTCATCTGTTTGAGTGTGTGTGAGCTATTTAGAGTCAGTTATGGCACACAGTGGCTTTTGCCATGATGCACACACTGAATGTTACATGAGACACAACACAACACAAGCGGACATGCATTCTTACAAAAAAGGACGTGTTGTTTTTTTAATGTCTGTGTTGTAATTTGTGAAAACATTTTGTGTGGTCTTTCAAAACAGCCTGCGTTACAGTAATTAACTACAATTACATGAACGGAATGAGAGCATGTCTTTGAAGATAGCACAATATTGTTCTGTCCCTAATAAGGACAATTATGTCAATGTTTAGAAAATGACCTATTCTGTAACTATAACTATACAAGGGAATAGTTCAACATGTTGGAAAAGATGCTTATTTGCTCTCTTGATGAGAGTTAGATGAGAAAATCAAATTCACACATCTATATTTGTTTTATATGAAGCTATACACAGTTACCGCTCTGCCCAACAATAACAAAAGTAGTTTCTGTGCTTTGCCAAGAAACAGTCTGGCATATAAACCCCCAAAAATCTTGGCACTTTGTAAGGATTAAACAGACAAGAAAAAAACATGGTAGTTAGTGAGCTTCTGAGGTGCTGGTTGGTTGATCTTGTTACCTTTGGATGGAGTCAAGCTAGCTGCTTTCCTATTTCTAGTCTTTGTGCTAAGCTATGCTAACCAGCTACAGATTCATATTCAAGACTTCAGTGTTGCATTGATCTTCTCATCTAACTCTCTGCAAGAATGAAAGTCAGCATATTCCCCCAAAAAGTTGAACTATTCCTTTAAAGTCCCAGTGAAACAGAAGTTAGAGTGTGTTTAGCTTCTATACTGTGACATATTTCCCATTTCAATGCAGAATTTGAATGGTTTACAGTTATAAGAGGGATTTAAATCACATTCTTTGATTCATTCATTATTTGATTGGACCGATAAAAAGTAGGCGGGCTTGTTTAGCATGACATGGAGGTACACTGAGCAGACTGTCAGCTCCACAGACACCTGCCTTGCTGTTAGATCAGGAGGAGGATGAGAGAGACGTGAATGAATTAGACCTCCGCCACGTTGTTTTAGAAATAAAAACACAGCTTTTGCCCACTAAATTCCAAACATACATCTCGTCCTAACTCTCTCCATTATTGCTCTGTTAGCTAGCAGCTACTACACCCCACAAACAGGGAAGTTTTGTTTTACATGACCGCTCGGGATAGCTACTCGCCCTTCGTTTGATTGGATGAGTCATCAAATATTTGAAACAATTTTATCTGGTTTTACAGAAAGAGAAAAGACTCCTCTGATACTGATTTTTCAACATACATTTGGCATATTACATGCTAAATTATCAATTTTCACAGGGACACAGAGTTAAAACTGGGAAAATGTATTTTCCACTTCACTGGGTCTTTAAAGAGCAAGGCTCACACTTTTGTATGTCAGTTTGTCTGTGTGTCCTGTGCACTACTGTAGACAAGAACACACACACACACACATCCAGCGACCATACAAATACCACAGCAGTAGAGACATCAGAGCAGGTGAATTAAAAGACTAATGGTAAACAACATGTACTAACCTGAACTTGGATTTGGAGATCCTATTTCTGGAACACAGAAAACAGAATGGATTATACACACACACACATAACACACATATAGACAGGTACACAACATGACAGGGGTGATTTGAGAGGGATATTTGCCTTAGCAAATATGTTCAATGAGCAGCTTAGTTGTGTGGGTCTAGTTTTTCCTGCCTTTCTGAGATGCAATTACCTTCTTACCAAGTAAACATTTGCTAGTTTGGAGACTGAGGTGAACTACACTAGCACATAAGCTGCAGAAGTGAATGAACATTATAAAGATCACCCGCTTTTCTTTAGAACAAATCACCCGAAGCAAACATGTATACAGTGGCACCCAGTCAAAAGAAAAAACGCTTTAAGTTTGGGTTTCCTCCAATCAGCCCTGGTGTGAAAAAACACAGTGTATTAATAGAAACATGTCTGTTGATTGTTCACCACTGTAACAGCAAAGGTACATACATAAAGAACTGACGACAAGAGATTATGGAAGACATTGTCTCTGGGAAGAGAGGAGAGAAGAGCAGAGCAGAGCAGAGCAGAGCAGAGCAGAGAAGAGAAGAGAAGAGAAGAGAAGAGAAGAGAAGAGAAGAGAAGAGAAGAGAAGAGAAGAGAAGAGAAGAGAAACCCCAACTGTGGAAACTGGAATCGACAACATATTACATTATTATCTGTAATGTTGGAATTAAATGATTTGACCATGGGCTGAATCTATAACTGTAACGTGCCACAAGCTGGTAAGATTGTAAGCTGACGCTCTTCTCTCAGCCAGGGGTTGTTTTTAATTAATAATAACCCAAACTGATGCACACAAAAGTACAAATGGTTGATGAATTGGTGAATCTGGTGACTCTTTGGCAGATTATGAGACAATGGGCCCCTGGGTCCAGACATGCAGAGGGCCCTGCCACATCTCGTGTGTAGCCTCTTTTTGTTGTTGTTTTGTGTCTCTTTGTAGCCATTTTGTATTTCTTTGTCATCATTTTGTGTCTCTTTGTGGTCAATTTGAGTCTCTTTGTATTGCTTTGTAGTCATTTTGTGTCTCTTAGTGGTCAACTTGAGTCCCTTTGTAGTTGCTTTGTAGTCATTTTGTGTCTCTTTGTGGTCAATTTGAGTCTCTTTGTAGTTGCTTTGTAGTCATTTTGTGTCTCTTTGTGGTCAACTTGAGTCTCTTTGTATTGCTTTGTAGTCATTTTGTGTCTCTTCGTGATTGTTTACCCCTTTCTATAGTTGTGAGTCTCTCTGTGTCTCTTCACAGCTGTTCTCCATCACTTTGTGGTTGTTTTGCGTACTTTTGTGGTCTCTTTGTGGTCATTTTGAGTCTCTTAGTAGTTGTTTTGCATCTCTGTAGTTGTTTTGTCTCTCTTTGTGGTCATTTTGTGTCTCGTAGTCATTTTCTATTCTCATTGTGGTTGCTCTGTAGTCATTTTATGTGTCTTTGTGATTGTTTTGTCCCTTTCCGTGGTTGTGAGTCTCTTTGCAGCTGTTATACATTTCCTTGTAGTTGTTTTGTGTCTCCCAGTGGTCTTGTGTCTCTCTGTGTTGTCTTTTTGTCTCTCTTTGTCATAATTTCGTGTCTCTTTGTGATTGTTTACCCCTTTGAGTACTTGTTGTGAGTCTCTTTGTGTCTCTTCCCAGGTCTCCTGCATTTCTTTGTAGTTGTTTTGCATCTTTTTGTGGTCCCTTTATAGTAATTTTGAGCCTCTTAGCAGTTGTTTTGTATTTCTGTAGTTGTTTTGTCTCTCTCTGTGGTTGTTTTGAATCTCTTTGTAGTTGCTTTGTGGTCATGTTATGTCTTTTTGTGACTGTGTACCCCTTAACATACTTGTTGTGAGTCTCTTCGTGTCTCTTTGCAGTTCTGCATTTCTTTGCAGCTGTTATGCGTGTTTTCATGCTCTCTATATAGTAATTTCAAGCCTCTTAGTAGCTGTTTTGCATCTCTGTAATTGTTTGGTCTCTCTTTGTGGTCATTTCGTGTCTCTTTGTAGCCATTGCCTAGTCTCTTGGTAGTTGCTTTGTAGTCATTTTGTGTGTCTTTGTGATTGTTTTGTCCCTTTCCGTAGTTGTGAGTCTCTTTGTGTCTCTTTGCAGCTGTCTTTGTAGTTGTTTTGTGTCTCCTTGTGGTGTTTTTGTGTCTCTGTCTGGTCTTTTTATGTCTCTTTGAGTCTTTTCCTGGTCTTTACCTGTCTCTTCAAGTGACATTTTGCAGGTGAAGGTGAAGGGGGCCCTTCGACCTGTGCCCAGTAGGCTCATTCTGTAATCCATCTATGCTGTGACCACACTGAATGATGTACTGGTTGGAGTCTTTACAGCTAAGTTTGTTGCATTTAAATTTCATTTTATTGCATCTACATTATTTTTTTAGGAATTAATAAATCAAAAGATAACTACTGTCATGTATGGAGTTATTATGAGTGACTGTGTACTCGTTTTGTTGATAAAAACAGACGAATTGACCGACCCGCTGACTGACTTGCTGGCTGACCGTCTGACTGAAGCAATAAAATGAGTCACTGACTGACTGAACGATAGAATAAAATGACTGACTGGCTGGATATGGAGGCTGACAGTACACACATCTCTTCTCTCCATGTGTCCGTCTCGATTATGGAGATCAGCAGGCGTCAAAGTAGCTCCTACCCCGAGGTCTATCTCCATAGCAATGTGAAGAAGAGCTGACAAACACTGAGAGTCTCATGTTTTATCTTCATATTAGTGTGAGCAAATGCTCTGAGCCAAACTTGTTGCAGTCTCGCAGAGGAACCATGAGGGCTCACATTTCCAGTCTTGGCAAGGTTTACAAGGGCAGTCTGATAATTGTGAAGAATTTAACTAAGATTAAAAATTGCAGGTGTAAATTCTGGAGCTCCTTCATGGGTAATAAGAGTGACGTTGGTGCTGTAGACCAACACACTTTTAGGTGAATTTTCAAACTAAATGAAGATTAGTCTGCAGGCGTTTAAGAGGCTATGAATGAGTAAATTACACCTTGTGCCACAACAATTTTTATTGGTACACAAGTAGATAACAGGTGATTGAGAAGCATCCTTTATCATGTGTTTGCTTCATATTCAGTCTTTGATACACCAAATAATTAAGTGAGGTTTTGAGCTGCAGCAATTCATTCGACGGTCAGAAAATTAACTACTAACTAACTAGTCTGCAACTATTTAAATAATCAAATCATCATTTTAGTCATTTTTTACTACAGCTGAGAACAGCCTTGCTTGCAGCTATTTTGTTTTAATGCTGTTTCTTGAAATCACGAGTTAACAAAACTGATAATGGGTAAATGTATGTCTATTCTTGAGTGAAAAAAACCCGATTTCTCATGATAATTTATCACAAGAAAACAACTTCTGTTGAATGTGAAGTTAAAAAAAGAAGAATTTTTGTGTCAGAACTTGATTAAAGTACAGTGATGTGTTGATAAACAACAGCTACTCCTTGATGTGACATTTTCAGCTTGCATTAGTTGCCACAAATGCCATCTAGTCATGCTGGCATTCTAATCCTGATCTCTAAAAAACATTACAATGAGTAATAGGAGAAAACAACCTTTACTGATGGAGTGAAAGATTTTCTGTGCACACCAACTTAATCATAGACCCCGATACCATTATTGTTATTTTAATTTTATTATTTTTAAATTATTATTGTTATTTTTTTATTTTATTTATTATCATTACTATTATTATTATTATTATTATAATTACTATTATTATTATTATTATTATTATTATTATTACAATATTGTTATTTTAATTTTAGTAATATTTAATTATTATCATTTTATTCTATTGCCTTTTTTCGTTTTTTCCCCCCTCATGCATTCTACACCCAGGGGTGGGTGTAGATTGTTGTGTATTTGTGTGTGTGTGTGTGTGTGTGTGTGTCAATCAATCAATCAATCAATTTTATTTATAAAGCCCAATATCACAAATCACAATTTGCCTCACAGGGCTTTTGGGTGTGTGTATGTTGTTTGTTATCCATGTTAAACTATATTTAAAAAAAAAAAGATAACCCACCCACACACACACAAAAGAAAACAACCTTTTGTATCGTCGTGATAACTGGTTGATTATCTCATTTTCTTGTGATAACAAAGTAATTAACTTGTGATCTTAAGATAATGGCATTAAAAAAATTGCAGCAGGGACATTCTCTACTAATATTTTAAAGCAAACGGAAAACAACTACTAGGGCGAGCTTCTTGAATCTGATGACCTGATGCTTTTCTTTGCCGTATATGATATTAAAGTGATTATCTTTGGGTGATGCTGACGTGGGCTCTGAGAAATCATTACAGGCATTATTCATTGTGTTGGGTTTGTGGCACCTCCTAAAGACTCAGATTTGATGTGTATCCTTTGTTTTGATTTGTGTTTGTCTGATGGGACAAATAAACACAAACAACATAACAGAGACAGAGTAACAGATGGACAGCGAGAGTACAAATAAACAACAGTGTGCCATCCAAGTGTGCCTACTGGCCTTACTGTTCCTCTGGTCAGAGGTGTTCTTGATTCAGTTTGGTTTCGTCTCTTAATTGTCTATGTCATACTGCACAGTAACTTTATTCTGTTCTGCTACGTTCACAGTGATGCACAGTTTTGTATGTAAGTGTCTTTGCTCGTGTGTACTGAAGTGGGCCCGCTGGGGTCACGGCTCCTGCATCACCTTGTGTCTAAGAAAAAAAGCAACGCACTTGTTTGAATAATGTAAAGAAATGAAAGGAGCTGGGGGAGCAGGTGAGTCAGCTGTTCGTGAGCTCCCACAGGGGAGGAGGAGAGCACTTCACCAGCAAACACAAAGGTGAGACAGAGAGAGAGTAGAAACAGTTGGAGAGAAGAGGGAAAAAATGGATTACTATTGGATGAGATGTAGCAATAATAAACAGAGTCCTGCTTGTTTGATAGTCAAGCTGTCTTTGTACTACGAGTCAACTTTGACCTCACAGAATGGGCTGCTTCTCTCATTTCTACTTCTGGTAATGAATTGATATATAATGCCTTTCTGTACAGAGAAAATGATGTCACTAAACATCTAGCCATATTTGAATGATTCAAAAATGACACAGAAATGCTGACAAAAGTCTTACTCCACAATGCAGTGCTGCATAGTTCACAGTCTTTTCACACGTTTTCAACAAGTAGTTTCTGACTTGTGTAATGTGTTTAGAAAGAAATCTTAAATTTTACTTTACCCAGACTTTAATTTTCAGCAACAAAAGGTCCAGCAACTAGTTTCTGAACCACCTTTGGACTTCAGTGTTGTTTAGCTGTAGTGTGCTAGGAAAAAATAATAAGGCACTGTGGTTTAGTGTAGGATTCATTCCCCTTAGCCTGACCTATGTTTCATCAAGGTCACAGATTTATTTGGGAAAAAGAGCCATTTCATTGGCTGCACCTCTGTTTAGTTGTCTCTTTAAATCTCAAAAGTTTTATCAGTTTAGAGTACAATGACAACACACTGTCGCTCTGCTCAGCGTCAGTATGTGCATTCTTTCAAACCTCTGGGAGACTTGATGAGAAAGAGGTCTGGCTTTGTGAGATCAGCGAAGGATAGAGGCGGGCTAAAGTGCTAATACAGGAAAGATGCAGGATAGAGTTCATCCTTGGGATTGACAGAAGGTGACTGAGAGAGAGCGGAGGGACAGGAGGTATGTGTGAGGTACTTACGCTAGCCGGGTACAGCAGGTCTCCCCCTCCACGTCTCCCCCGGGGGCATTGTCTGTGTTGACTGATTCATTTTCGCTGGCTGGCATGCTCACTGAGAGATGGAGAGGAGCAGAGCCCAAGAAAAAGAGGTGACAGATATAGAGAGAAAGACAGAAAAAAAAGAAAGAGAAGGATGAATTAACAGGACAAGGCAAAGTGTTGTACATCCTCACTTACATCATTTTTACGCTGGTTTTTACTGTATTACTCACTCTAAACCTGTAATTTAACACACAGTGGACTCCAAAACTTTACAAATGTACTATTACACATACACCTGCACTGGAATCTGTCTCAAACACAGATTTCTATAAGATTATAATAGAATTATACTGTATATATTTGCGCTAATAGCCTAAACTAATTACACATTTCCATATAAGCAATATTTACCAGTTGGGGATCCTGGGACACAACCTCTGCATCAGCTATTAGGAAGGATTTCAACTTCTAAGCTGAAGGATTGCTTAACTCCGGGTGAACTAAATCTTAGCAAAACCCTTTTGTGATTTCATAGCTCATGGAGATTGAAAGAGAAAACATGCTGTAGATTTTGGTCTTTGGTCTGCAAACGTTGCGGGGGATGTTGGAGCTTAATTGCAGCCAAGGTTTCGGTTTTATTCAGTCTTCTAAACTTTAATTGAGCTGTGAGAGCTTTGGCAGGATTTATGTCAACGCAAACATCTGAGAATTAATTAATTAAGTGCATGCTACAAATGTTTTTTTTATTTTAGCAGGTGTGTAAACAGGTAGGAAGCTCACTGAGCCCAATATGTCTTTGTTTATAAAGCCACAAGGAGACCGCAAATGTGTCAATTTGTCCTGATTTAAAGACAAGTGAAATGGTGTGTAAAGATGGAGGGATGAGTACCGGGAAGATGGAGGCAGAGGCTGCTGTCAAGGAAGGACGAGTGTAATAAGAATTGACAGTTAAGGATGGAAAAGTGTTAAAGAGGAAAAAGAAGGAGAGTGGAGGGAGGGAGTGATAGAAGCATTGAGGGAGGTATGGATGGAGGGAGAGGATGAATGTGGGGACGGCTGGTTGAGAGACTGATATGAAGTGATACATTGCTTTTTATTGCTTCTGTCAGTCTTTGCCTGCCTCCGGGAATGAGCTGCACTCCCCTCACTGTCACCTCAAACACTTATTGTAACACCCTCTGGGTACTGGAGTCAGATGCTGATATGAATCTCAATGCAGCTCGTGTTAAAGTAAGATATCCAGTGTTAAATGACGCAAAACCTACTCTTGTGGAACGAGCATGAAAGCAGAGGACATGATCACCACTTAAAGGGACAGTACACCCAAAAATCAAAACCACATATTTTACCTCTTACCCGCAGTGCTATTTATCAGTCTAGATTGTTTGGGTGTGAGTTGCTGAGCATTGGAGATATCAGCTGTAGAGATGTCTGCCTTCTCTTGATTATAATGGAACTAGATGGCGCTCCACAGACCTTGTTGTGAACACCCAGCAGCCTTGTCAATACGTAGAAAGAAGCGGACATTTACTCATGAACAAGAGGCTAGTGCTTAATGACAGTCCGAGATGCAAACCTTAACGGTGCCCTGAGTGGCTGAGCTGTAATGTTAGCTAGCTCAGTGGTGCAAGCTGAGCTCGGAGTAGATGCACGCTTCCTTCTGCACAGTACGTTTGCTGGTGTAGCTTGTTATAATCTGTGGATTATCTTAAGTAACTGGGTCATGACTTCATTGCTGCTGTGTTTTCAATTTTATTTTTGGGGCTTCGAGAACCAAAAGCCGAGTGCCATCTACTCCATTTGCATTCAAGATTCTTGATTCTCTATGGACGATATTTAAAGAACCAATGAGGGGTGACTGTTCCCTTTAAGATGAGAGGGCATTTTAACAAAATGAAAAATCCCAATCCTGACTTTTTTAAAACATTGGTACCAGATTTTACTTTTATCATTATTAAAATATTCCTGAAAAAATATTAGAAACACAGAGCTTGTCATACAAAATTGCTCTGTCATCTCAGCTCCAATAATACACTTTACTTATACCGTATGTTAGAGATTGCGCTCCAAACACAATTTTAAACCCTGACATTGGCTCCTCTGCATTCCCACTGAGGTCTTAAGTAGTGTTCCATGCACATTTGCTGATGGAAAATGTACTTTGAATACCATATAAAAACGAGCGTGTAGCCAATGTATGAGTTATATGACCTTGAATAAAGACAAATAAATAATTCTGTGCCAAACACATAGGCAATCAAGTAAAGTAAAGCAAAGAAAACAAGCAAGCAAATTCTCTCTGTGCATGCACCCCAAGCAAAAGAGGGCTAAAGTCATCATGACATTCCTTATTCAATGTCCTGAGTATAAATGCATGATTGTTATGTTTTTACAGTGGATTTAATATGAGATTTGCAGAATCTGTATATATTTTTTGTTGTGTTTTATATGAGGGGCTTGCTTGTAAGCACTCAGCTAACACACACTGTAATACATCAAAGTAAGCTTTAGTGAGTGAGCAGTGTGCTTTGCCACATGGTTGGTGGTAGATGAACTCTGTGCTGTAGAGATCAGGATGGTCTCTCTGAACATTAAGGCCTCTGCTGTGAGCACGCCGTATGTTCCCTCACCTCGACACGTGCCACCTGCTGCTATGCTACTTAGTTAAAAGCACTCGGGGTCCTGCAGTCTCTCCCGAGGCTACAGCCTTTCAAATATAAAACCAGCCTGGTGTCTTCTCCTCAATGGAGCTCTGAACTAGTTTAATACCTATTGTTAGAGTAAACCCCAAAGACTTGAGACACTGAGAGATGGAAGGAGATGGAAGAAGGGAAATGAAGGAAATGGAGGGAGAGAAATGGAAGGAGGGAAGGGATGAGAAAGACAGGAGAGGGTTACACTTCAACACAGCAGAGGGATTCATTCATTCTTAACAATGTTGCATGTGTGAATGAATTTAAGTGGAAACGGACGACAAATTATACCTGCTGTATTTTTAATCTACACCTTGATGAAGGATGCTTCATTCAGCTGTGAAGGCGACTACAAATGGAGTTACACTCCATTATGGGTGGGAGTGAATAGGGTCCAGTTTTGGAAAGGCCCTGTATTTTTTTTCCACAGTTACTCCAGTTGTTGACTGTCCCAGCATTTCCACTACTGGGGATGGTAACTGCACAGAACTTACACTGACAGTCTTTGGTAAGTGGGAATAGCTACCAACAGCTACTGGGAAAAATAAAAGCGCTATCTGCTTCCGGTTTTGGTTGCGCAATGATGGACGTACTTCCTTTGTGCCGTAAATTCAGCCTTAATTTTCCCGGGGGATCTTACTTGGTGGCAGACAACTTTACATAGTGAAATTGAAGCTTATAAGAAACCAAAATGAACGCCGGTGGTGTCATTGTACCATAGCCATTGCATCCACTTTTATGTCTGGAACCTCCCGTCTACAACGAGCTTGAGACGTGCCCTCGTTGAGAACTCGGCTCAGATTCTGGAGTTACTCTCTTATCCTGAAGCCTCCTTAAGGAATCTGATCCCGTATGATCCTCTTGCGACCGCACGCCTTTGCTGACGTTGACTCCAGCAGGATTTGAACCCTGGCCATTACATTGGGTAATCAATGTTTATTTAGTAATGATATATTAAAGCGAAAAAAACAAAAAAACAAAACCAAAAACGTGTCTAGTTCCACTTAAAAATATTAAGTAATAGTGATAAAAATAAATAAACTCAACCAAAATGTATTGAACTGACTAATAACAGAATTATTCACCACAGTAGTCTTTGTGAAATGTGTATGTGTGTGTGTGTGTGTGTGTGTGTGTGTGTACCTGTGTACAGATCTGTTTTGTGTCTGTGTCAACAGAAAGGTATTAATCGTCCATGCCATCATCTCCATTGGTCATTTTCTTTTATTTCAAGCAGTCTAAATTTCCATTACCAAACCCAAAACATGACTGAATTCATTGTGTAAATTGTGGCCAAAATGTTCAGTAAATGAGGTTTTTCATGCACTCTAATTTAATACAATAATGTAGTCTTTTGAATTTTAGTCTCTCTGTTTTGGTCACTAGGCAATTGTCACATTTTGGGATTAAAAACAACCCATGAACAGCTTGTTAGTATTTAAGCACTCTACACTGAAGTCAGTAAAAAGAATGACCAGTATCTTACATTTCTACTGAACAATATGACAAGTGCTGGGTGAAATTCATTAAAGGCTAAAATTCAAATTTTGAAGCTGTTTCTCTATTATCTTACTACCAGAGCTAGCATGGCCAGCAACAGTGCAGGGGGATCTTAGGGAAAGGAATCTCAAACAACAAGGAGAGGACTGTGACATCACAAATATTACAAATGTTATTAGTTGTCACGTATAGCCTGTTAGCCGCACTCCAATTGTTTTACGTGATGACACTGTCCTCTTGTTTTTAATTTTTCAGACAAGTCAGGCAGAAGCGAACGGTTTCCTTTCCTACAAACCTCTAAAGGAAATCGGAGGCTGCATCTCAACACTGAAATGATGATTCCTCTCCTCATGCTCTTACTGACTGAACCGAGAGTTCTCTTGGATTAAACTTAATTAAAAGCTGAAGGCCATAAAACATGTTTAAGGATTTAATGCAGTGAAGACATGCAATATTGCCAGCAGCAGGGGTAGTTTTTGGTGGCAAAAGTCCAAGTCTACATTGCAAGATAATATTAATATATATGGCCTAGAGATTTGATTATTATCCGATGGAAGGAGGACAAAAGTGGTGAGGAAGACAATGAGAATAAAATACTTCACAGTGTTGAGAGGCAGCCACTGAAAAAGGTGCTTACTACAATGCAGGTAGAGAGGAGAGGAAGAGGAAGAACAAAGAAGAGGAAGAGGAGGAGGAGGTGCAGCTCGCTTGCGTGTCTACAAACACGTTTCCAGTAAATCTTTATCTAGTGTTGGACCATGCAGACAGACGCACACGCCTTACGAAGGAAAGCCGCATTTTTCTTCACGGCTCCGCGCAGAGACGGATAACGCCGGCTCTTACCTGGGGATAGAGAGCACGGCTCAGCAACACAGAC